ACTCTTAAATTATCAACAATTATTTTCTTTGAAGATGGTAGATGGAGTGCCACAAGTGAAGTACCATGTGAAAACTCTGAAGAGTGAAACTTGTTTTTTACAGCTGGGTTCCTTAAAGGCAGTAATTATACCTAACTGTTTTAAGGACACGCAAGGCAGAATAGTTACTTTCAGCTGAAGTTTGGTGACACAAAAAGCAGTTAGAAAAATCAATTTGAGATTGGTTTTATTTCTCATATTGGAGAAATGGATAGTCAAACTGCTCATCTAAAAATAAATAATACTGTAGCTTTTCTTTCTGCCTCCTTGGTCTCTCAAAGCCAGCAGGGATAGTCACAGTACAATTTCACATCAGGAAGAGTATGTCTTTTTTTTCTCTGACTTTCTCTTTCTTGACTCCTAGTGAAATACTGTGGTTACAGGCACTTCACCTGTTATCTCATTTAAGCCTCCCACTATCCTTTTGATAGGGGCATTATTCCAAAGAAGAGATTAAGTAGGTCACATAACTGAGAAATCTGTATTTGAATTTCAGAACTAAACATTTGCCTTTTAATTTTTACCAGTGTCTTAAAAATAAAGTGAAGCTGATTGTTAAAAATGATTATTTCCAGAATGTTAAAGATTGTTTTAGCATAAAAATATTTCCCATGGATCAACATAAAAATGAATTATAGAGTAATTTCAGTCACTGTTCTTATGAAACCCATCAGTAATATTTATTTGCTAATATTTTAAATTACAATTCATTGTACTTGAAATAAATTCTAATAAGGGCTCTTCAAATCTTAACCAATGTGAAATAAATGTTGCAGATAATTTTCTGTCGTCTTTGTGGTATTTTCACATTAATTGATTAATTAATTAATTTCAATAAGACAGCAGTTTGCAAATATAAATGGCAATTACATGTTATAAATTTGTTTCAGATAGTGTTTACTGATAAAAGGTTAATGCTTAAATATACCTTTATTTATTTTCTGATGGGATTTAAACTTTAATAATTCCTCTGAATTTGGAGTTTTATACATGAAAAGGTATTTTAAAAGTGAAAATGATTTTAAAAACTATCACTGTAGTTTATGGAAAATTTAAAAGGTTTTTGCCTAATCTTAAGAATACTTGATGATTTTATTATATATATTATAATAGGAAAATATTTTTTAGTATCTGAGCTACTAAAACTTGAATGTTAATATTTTCTTCATATGTGTAGGAATTATTATTAAATGAAATTTTTCATGGATACCCTGTTATAACTCATAATATGCAACACATAGTGTCATAGCTTCAAAGCAATCCCTTCACTTCCTTTACTTTTCAAAATGATTTCAAGAATTAATGTGCCCAGAAGTTTTGAGGTATTGGAAAAAAATCAGAAATTGTATTTGTAGCATCAGGAGAAATCCCACTGTCATTGAAGTCCATTGAATTATTCTTAGCAAACAACCCTTTAATCTGGAGTATTAAGTGGTGGGAGGAAAGCACAGGACTTTTCCTAGAACTTTTGAGACCTGCATATCTAAACTGTACTATCCCTGCTGGCTTTGAGAAACCAAGAAGGCTTCCAAGATTGGGGTTATTAATTGATTTCTCAATTGTTGCAACTACATTTCTCTTAAATTTCTAATGGCTATGTTGCTGCATCTCACAGAAATTTATTTACATGTGCCAACCTGGTGTTTTAATTCCAGATTTTGCTGGCCTCACCTAGTGAGGTTAATAGTGGAAGGAATAGGTGTACCAAGTGAAAGAACACCTGTAGATTTGGCAAAGCCAAGGGAAATGTCTAGTTCTCACTCACAAACATGTTTCAAACACATTGATATCCCAGTCAACTCTGTCATAAATGCCCTGATTCTTTTTGTGTGTACTTCTTAGAAATCTGTGCAGTTTTTCTTCTTTCAAGAGGTTAAAAAGGCATCTTTATTTGGTTCTGGGTCTGTTTTGTTTTTCTTTTTTTGTTTTATATGTTGTGGAGGATGGTAAAGACTTTTTTTTCTTTTTTTTTGGAACAAGAGTAGAAATATGTCCATCTGTTTTTAAAATCGAGACTATAAAATATCAAAGAAATAGTTTTAAAAGCATTCAAATATTCACTGACTATATAATGGCCAGAAAAAGAGGAATAAAGAGAAGGGTGAAACAATGGCAGCTACTATATTGAGTGCTTATTCTGTAGTGAGCATTGTGATGTACATGTTTTAACACACTTAATCTGCCTGGGACCTTGTCAAATAGGTACCATTGCTTCTGTTTTACAGTGGAAGGAACTAAGGCAGGGAGTGACTAAATAACTTTACTAGTGATTTGAACCCAGACATTCTGGTTGTAAAACTCATACTGCAATACCATGCTGCTTTATCACAGAATTGAAGGAGAATCAAGACAAGGCTAGAGTGGCCAGTGCTCTCAGATCCGGGCTTTAGAGACAGAACTTAAATGAGCAGTAGAAAAAAGGCAAAAGGATTTATGCAGTAACATCCCCATCTTGTGGTGGTGGTTAGTATGTTCCTGAATGTAGTTAAAATTTAACAACTCTAAGCTCTCATCTAAATGAATTGAGGCTTATAAAATTCAGATGAGGGCTAAATTCTAATTCTAATAGAATTCTATTTCTAGCAGCCTTTGGAGATAAATGCTATTATTACCCCATTTTACATATGAGTAAACAGATTAAATAATAATATCAGAGTTACACTACCAGTAAATAGCTGAGCTCGGGCTTGAATCCAAGCATTCTGGCCCCAAAGTCAACATTCTCAACCATTCTCAACCATTATGCTATGCTTTTTTTTTAAAAATATTTGTGAAAAGCACATACACATGTCAATAGGAATGTAAATCTGCTTTATTAAAACAGCAATGTATGTTCACAAACCTCCACTTCTTCCAGTTGTAATCTAAGGTGGTAGCTATCAAAAGAAGTGCTTAATTAGTAACCACAACTTCAGTACAAGGCTATTTCTTGATTTATGGTTTGGCTCTTGTGTTCAGATCAATGCTATTTTATGTATTCTCCCTCCCTCCCCACCCCGTCTAAGATTCTGGCTTATAAATCATACTTCATTTTAACATGTCTCAAGTTCTGCTAAAAAAAAAAGTAGTGACCCATTACTTTGCAGAGATTTGTGGAGACTTTTTTTGATATATCGATGGAAAATTTGATAGTTTTATAACAAATAGAAGTTTTGGAACTAAGAATGTTTAGACAAAATTTATGTGGAGAATTGACTCTCAAATTTCATTTTTATTATGTGTTCTGAGCATAGCTTTCAGATTTAAAGTAGTGATGAAGAGTAGGTAAAAATTAGATTGGGGGAAACAATTTTTTTGTAGGAGAGTAAATGTTTTGTGGACATGAACCCTAATTAACATTAAATAAGTTGTTTTTGTCATTCCATAATCCCTTTTCATCTCTATAATGTAACAACATTTAATCTTTGTTTGCAATATACTACTTTCTGTTTCTTGTCACTTTGCATACATATATTATTGGTAAGGATGTGTTGAATTTTAATAGCCACAATATTCCATTATACTGTTAACATGGTACACAGGCATAGTCATTTCTTTCTGAACACTTTAGATTTAGATTTTTTTTTTTTAAATTAACCAGTAGACATTTGGAACTATGTGAGCTTGTGTGAGAGTCTAGAGATAATTTTTAAAAACTTTATCTTGAAATAATGTCAAACTTAAAAAAAAAAAACACGAAAGAATAGTACAGAGTACTCATGAAACTCATTGCTCAGATTCACTAATTTCTAACATTTTACCACATTTACTTTATTCTTATTGTACATACATTTTTTTTTCCTGAACTATGTGGAGTTAATTGCATGCATTATGCCCCTTTAGCAATTAAAGCATCCGTCTTTGTTTCCTAAGAACGAGGATATTGGCAACATAGATTTGATAGTACTCCCAGTGATACAGTGATTGACATAGTGCTATAGAATAGGTTTAATGAGAAAATATAGAGGGAGGAAAGCAAAAACAATCTTCATCTGGCCAAGCATGTGGCATTAAGACCAAAAAATTGTTATTCATATAGTCCCAGGCATAGCACTTGGCTGTAAGGGATAAAACTGAACATAATACACAATATCCTTATGAGGTTGTTATTTATTGTATGAGGAGAGGGTGTCAATACAGATAAGCAAACAGGCAGTTCCAGTACAGTATGGCGGGTACTGATAGGAAAGACAGAAAAACTGTCTTGGTTAAAAGGTCATTGATGACATCAAAAATGAATTACAACTACAAGAATAAAGACTTTGGGAAAAATAGATGTATGCTAGATTGTGGGAAATTGAGGGGTAAGTAGAGGAGGTACACTGTAACTGAATTCTGGGAATTTGGCAGTGAAAATGAAAATATAACCGTTTCAGAAGAAGAGGGTAGCCAGAGCCTTGATTATTTTTCTGTCCTTCCTGTCATCAATAAGCTGGACTAGTAGAGTATCAGCAACTGCGACATGAGAGGGGAAATGAGTGGGATGTAGGACATGCTGAGCTTTGAATGCATTTTAGTAATGAAGATCCTCACAATAAATGGATGTGATTTGCTTAGTAATAGAGGGAAGTAAAATCATATGAAAATGTGGAAGGGTGAAATTATAAGTTTGAAGAACTTGGAAACTACTTAAAACAAGCTTAGCGTGAGTAGGGAGGAAAGAGAGAGTGCTGTCAAAAGGCAGTCAAGGCCCAGTTGAGGTTCAGAGCATGAATTTGTAATGGACACAGTGTTTCTACATGGTTCACTCACAGAGCTCTACTGTCCAGAAGTACAGTGAGGTTATCCGTAAAGACCTGGATCATCTGGTTCTTACCGTTTTTTTATTTTTGCATAATATAATGAAAGATGCATGCAACTTTTCATTGCCATTTTGTTTCAACTATTCATTTCAGTGATCTTTTCTCTTCTTGCATGATAATGAGAATTGCCCTTTTCCACCTCCTTTACCTATCATTTTCTTCTTCCTACATTTTTCACAGCATGCTATTTCTGTGAGATGTCCCAGCAAGCAGGCCAAGCGTCATACTGACTTCACAGAAGAACAGGCTGAGCTGACACCTGTAAGTTCTATAAACATATCCATGGTAGGAATACATTCTTTAGAACTTTTGATGATGAAACCCTGTCATATACCTCAATTTCTCAGTTAGAAGTTAAATCAAACTTTACAATAAATGAGCAAAAGCAAATGAGCAACTTTATGATATGATACCTTTGAATATTAATACTCATGGTAAGACAATATAGGTTGTAGCATGTCTAATATAGAGAAGTTCTGTATTGGAACATGAAACGCTATGCTTTATTTTTTATTCTGAAGCTAAAACCTTTGTAAACTTCTTAAGATATTAACAAATTTGGCTGTTTTTCAGAATGGGGATATCAAGTAGTATGATTCTGTTGCACTGATGCTTACCTGTAAACCTACTTTCTTTTTTTATCAAAAATGTATCCCCTGGTCAGCATATGTGTGAGAGCTGCACTGTTCTGTGTGGTAGCCACATATGGCTACTAAGCACTTGAGATGTGCTATAAAGATAAAATACACACTGGACTTCAAAGATCTGGTATTAAAAAGGAATGTAAAATACCTCTGATTTTTTTGTATTGATTACTTACTGAAAATATAACATTGTGGATATTTTCAGTTAAATAAAAGATAGGTTAATTTGCCTTTTTCTTTTTAAAAAATGTCATTACTAGAACATTTTAACTACATTTGTAGCTCATATTATTTTTCCATTGATCAGCACTAAATAGGGAAAAACACTTCTCCAACCTCACCTTCCACCCCTACCCTATACTTAAAAGCATCAAATACACTGCAATATTTGCATTGTCATCTACTTGTTTCTTCCACCCAAGCGGCAGTTTTCAATTCTTTTGGTCCCAGTGCCTCCATTTTATAACTAATAATTCATAACACTATTTTTACTATCCCAAATGAAATTGATAGATAATGCAACTTACATACCTATTTTTAATGAATTTAATGTCCTCATACCTAGTATGAAGGAGAAATAAAAATAATTTATAGTACAATAATATATCTTATTTTAGTTTTTAAATTATTTTTACAGGAATAAGATAGCAGAAATGTAGAGTGAACCCAGAATTAAGACATGTTATAGTAGATAACAGCAGACACACAAACCACTATATGGTAATAGGAAACAGGAAATAACCTTAACTGTAGCGATAACGTGCTGAGACAGTTTATAGATGGTCAAAGAAAAGAAAATGGGAAAGTACGAAATTCTTGCAAATGAGCTGAGTCTTATATAATGATAAAATCATTCCCTGCCTTATAACGTTGGGGTGCAGTAGTGATAAAATGATTTCAGTATTTGATTTTTTTATAATTTAAATTTCTCATTGTGCTATATTTTAAATAAGATAGAATGATATGAAATATTTTTAAACAATCTTTATTGAAGCCTAGTGAAATTCCATCATAGTTGTCTTTTCATTGATACTCTAATAATTAGTTGTTAATGCTGTTAAAAGGAATTTCAAATCTTTGTTGTCATTTACTTGCACGTAACAGAGTGCAGTCTGTTACGGCCAGTTTTGGTTTTGGCAGCCCTTACGTCAGTCTAGCTCCATTGATTAAATGATTTTCTAACATAACGGATAACTCTTCATAAATTTTGAAGAAAAGAAAGTTCTAGCTTCCCTCAATTTATTTTACATGGTAAATAACATTCCTGGAAGATTCATTGAGTATTAAAATTATACATAAATGCTTTGTATGTAAAATGGAATTAGGTTCTAATCTTAGATTGTTATAAATAGGGTTAGCAATCTGTATGATTTTCATATAAGGACATTAAAAATTCATCTGTGATGTGGAACTTTTGTTATTATGTGATATTATTCCATGTTTACAGGACATCTAGCATTTCTGACTTCCCTCCCAATAAGTATCAGTAACTCCCTCTTCCTTTTTATTGTGACACAGCACAAAATATCCCGTGTTTTCCCAGGATGCCTCCTTGAGGGCAGCACCACCCCTGTTGAGAAACCCTGGTATCTCTGCTCTGTCTCTACCCCTCACTCCACTCCCACCTGCTCCTTACCTATCCTCCAGGACTCTTAAGTTTTTTCAGAAATACTTTACTGAGCCCTTAATTTTGAATTAGGTAGTCACCTCCTACTTGCTTCCATATCATTTAACACTGTATTATAATTGCCTGTTTTCTTCCTATTAGACTCTAAACTTTGCGAGAAATACCTGTCTTGGTCACCTTTGCATCTTCACAGTGCCTGGCATGGTTGCAGGCTCAAAGTTGAATAAAGGAAAGAAAGGGAAAAAGAAGAGGAAGAAAATGGGCTAATAAACCAGTAAAATGGATTAAAATAATAAGCCACTGACTGTGTTCTTAGTAGTGAATGAAGGAAAATACTAAAGGGTTCCATTTAAATAAACCTCTGTGCATTGTTTTTACCAGTAACATGTACCAAGACTGAAGGCTGATTTACTGACATGCCCAAACCACTCTCACTTTTCTAAGTCCTCCAATTGCACACCACTCTTCTCACACCTCTTCCATCTTTCTCTAGTAACCAGCTCTCCTGCCACCCACACCCGCTTTCTGGGGAACTCCAGAGCATTGTAGGACTGGCTTCAGTAGGGGAACTTAGATAAAGTAAGGCATTTATTGAAGACAGGAATCTGCTGCTTCTGATTCCTAGATTTTCAGGGGGTGGAAGGATTCTGCTACAAATACTTGTAGCTTAGATAAAGGGAACATGCAGACATGGCCTTCCTCCCTGCTAGTGATTAACCAGTGACTAGCTATATATGACTGTCTCAAACACAAAGTAATTTATGATCGTGCCTACCTATTGTTTGTGGTCTCATTTTTTTAGATGTGGCATATTTTGGAGTTACCAACTGTAATGACTCTTATCACCTTTTTATTTTAAGATATTTAAACCTTGTAAAATTTTTAAGTGGATAGCTTCTACGTTAAAGTCTTCAAATACTATTCAAGTTTAAACTTGCATTTAAGGTCTGAAATTACATTTACCAAGTAATAATTTGATAGGCTGAAACAGGTTAATTTTTAAAATTTTGAAATAGGATTTTCTAAAGATTGATGCTTTACTCATTTTAAGAATCTTTTTCTGAGAAAGTAACCTTCATGAGTAAAATAATTAGGAGAAATTTTTCAATAAATATTTTGTGTTTTACATAATTATCTAAAGATTTTTTTTTTCCTCATTACATGTGAATAGCAAAAAGTGAATGGGAGTAAGAGCAATGAAAGTTATAGTTGCCCTGGCCAGTGTGGCTCATTGGGTTGAGTGCCGGCCTATGAACTGAAAGGTTGCCAGTTCAATTCCAAGTTAGGGCACATGCCTAAGTTATGGGCCAGGTCCCTGGTTGGGGGCATGTGAGAGGCAGCCAATTGATGTTTCTCTTGTACATTGATGTTTCTCTCTCTCTCTTTCTCCATTTTTCCCTCTCTCTAAATATAAACAAATAAATTTTTTTTAAAAGAATGTTATAGTTGCTCTTTTTAATTGTCATTCCCAGTTCTCTCCTTGGTCCTGATTGTTAGCCTCAAATTAAATTGAATTCTTGGAAATTTTGGCTTACCTAGTATCTTTATCTTCCAGAGAATTATACCATGTAGGTAAATGATGCTCTAGGTATAGTTGTCTCTGTTCTTGTTGTCTGACCTTGTTAGTGCTAGTCTTGATGAATATATCCAATATTTTTGAAGATTTTATTTATTTGTTTATTTTTAGAGAGGGAGAAGGGAAGGAGAAAGAGAGGGAGAGAACGACCTGGCCCACAACCTGGGCATGTGCCTGATGGGGAATTGAACCAGCGCCCCCTTGGTTCACAGGCTTGCACTCAATCCACTGAACTACACTAGCCAGGCCTATATCCAATATTTTTTAACCTTAGGTTTGTTTTTTTCCTCCCCCAGGAGTGGGTGAAAGGGGCAGGTGTGCTTGTAAGGTTCATCCTGAATTAAAACTAAAAGAAAAAAGAAAAACAAAACAAAACAGGCAATGAAATACCATATAGCAAACCTAATTTAACATGAGATATGAGTAAATATTAAGTTAATATTATTTTTTGTAACTACTTCTAATCTTGAAGTAGTGTGTTTTATTATCTATGACAAAAAACTTTATGAGAATGGTTGCTGCTCTAGTGTTTATTACATAAATTAAAAGAATTTCTCAAGAATAACTTGATATACACTTAGGTTTATAAAATATAACATTATACAGTACTTTCTATAACTCCACTTAGCTGTGCCATGTATTGTTTTAAATGGTGGTTAGTAAGTACATTGCATTAAAACTAATTTGGAATTTTCTAGGGCAGACAAGTCTGAATCACATAGATACCAAAACAGCTGTAATTTATAGTACATGAGTTTAAATGCGGTTATATAAACTTACATGTTACTAAGAAGTTATTAATGGGGAAAAGGACAGGGGCTATGTTATTCACAGTCATTTTAATGGAAATATCTTCATTGCTCAAATTAATTTAACCAATTTAAGGGAACAGCACTTCTTAATGTTTTATTCATATTCATTTGCTAAGATCCGTTACTGTGTAACACAGTCTATTAGTATTCAACTATGAGGAACTAATAAAATTTACTGAAAGTAGGTGATATTCATTAGACAAAATATGGACATGTTCCCTCTTAGTGTGGCTGTCATTGAATTGTTCAGGTATACTTGCAGAAGTTTTAGAAATGGTGTAGTCTTATTCTGTTTTCATAAAAATAAACTATTTAAAGCTGTACAGGTCTTTATGTAAGCTTTACAAAAGGAAGGAATGTATTTGTCACTGGTCTTCAACACCTGTTTATTTGTGCTGTGTACACAGTACTCACAAACACTGCCCTGGAAGACAAACTGGCTTTGTGATCTTTGCAGTGTGTGATCCATTTTCCCAGAGAGGAGGGATCAGCAGGAGTTTGTTAGGACACGCCTATTGGCGTAGATGGTGTCTGTGCTTTCCCCTCCTTTTCTTTTTTTTTTGTTTTCTTTCTTTTTTTTTTTTGTTTTCTTTTTAAAAGTTTTATTCTTTGGACCCATTTCAGTGAGTTTAGGGAAAAGATATGAGATTAATAATAGAGAATCATTCTTGCTATGTATTTTAAACACAACCTCTATTGACTTCTATTGCCTTTTTTTGTTTGTTTGTTTTTCTCTCTCTCTGCACAAGCACTCCTATCTGGACAGGGAAACCTCCCTTCTTCTGAGAAACATTGCAGGAAAACCTTCTCATTTGCTGACCAAGGTGATACTTCTTCTTTCCACCTGTATGTAAATATTTATTGCCTTGTAGGTAGAATATAATTTCTGGTTTTGATTGTGCTCTCAGACTTTTCAGACTGTGCTTTTTTATATCACCACATTTGTACTGAATAGAGGTATTTTTTTTTCTCTTACTGAAGGTAATTATTTACTGACTTTAAGGGCTATCAGAAAATATTGGGAGTAGAAAATACTTGCAGTAAATTTTCACTAGCTTTTAACTTTCATAAATACCTAACAGTCCTCCCGAGTATGTTGCACTTTTTCTAGCTTAACATTGTATTTCACTTTTAAAATCTAAAAGTCATTGCTTCAATTTTAGCTTTCATTACTAATGGTTATCCATGCTGTGAGTTGTTTTTAGCAGACTTTGTTTCCTAATTCTTGTTTATATTATCAACACCTCATTTATATAAACAAAATCTTACTCTACATTAGCTTCATCAGATTGGAAGAAAATGTTGAGTTTTAATTTCTCAGTTCTTCGCTTTCAGAATGGGCTGAATCACTCCACCCAGATTTTCATTGGGCTGGTATTTTACTTCAATTTTAAATCTTTTAGTCATTGTCTTCATTAACTAAGGATAACAGAATAAGGAAGCTGACAGAATAGTTTCTGCCTCTTTTTAAATCATGTTTTTATTTCATTATTTTATTTAAAAAATGTTAAATTCAAAAATGTCAGACTTGGTTTCTGAAGAATATGCATATTAATTATAGGTAATATCTCTAAGTTGTTATGATATCAGAAAGCTTTTAAAATTTTTTACTTCCTAACCGTATAAACTTGTGAAAGAAGATGTAAAGCTAAAATTAAAATTTCCATGAGAAGCAGCTCAAAGAAAAAAACCCAAGAGTCAACAGTGAAACCCCTTCTCTTGCTCTTTAAAGTAAATCTGGGAATGGGTTAGAAGTAACTTAAAGGTCAGGGAAATGTAGAAGTCTAAGCAGATAACAGACATGTATTTTATAGTCATAGCAAAGTTCTTTCCTTTTCCTCAGCTCTTCTCTGTTTATTCTCTCTCTAGCTGGAGTTCACACTCAGCTTCAACTAACATCTCCATTCTATATCATATCTCGCTAGCTGAGAGCAACAAATTTCCAAATAGCCAACAGACATTTCTTGGGAGATGACCAGCACCTTGAATCTCACAGGTTTTTGGCTTCCAAACCCTTGGGTCTCACAATTTATATTCGTCTTTTTCTTTTGACATTTCTGTTTCTGTTCAAAATGTTGCTGTTCTCCCATTTGCCTGGATCTGAGCCTTCTACCATTCTTGGTGTACTGTGCTAGCTGCTGGCATATAACACTGTATAAAATGGCCATATATGCCCTCTTCCCCTGCCCTGTGCACTCCCACCCCCAGGAGATCACAGTCTACTTATGAAGATACATTTTAAAAGCACAAGCAAGCAGGTAGACAAATTCTAAATCATGTTAAGTGCTGTGAAGGAAGGCTACATTTCCTTTAGATGGTAAAATTAGAAAAGACCCCTCTGAGGGGGTAACATTTAATCTAAAGCTTGAAGGATGAAAAGACTCCATCTTGAGGGTGAAGAGAAGTGGTCCATGTAGATAGGACCAGAGAGAACAGAGCCTGGCGTGTTTAAGAAGCAGAAAAAAGGATCTGTTGCTGGAGCCACAATAGTTGAAAGAAGATATGAGTGTCTTGATTTGGATTTGGAGAGGTATGCAGGAGCCAAATCGTTCAAGGCATGCTAAGGAGATTTTCCCTCCCTACATATAGTGGGAAACTGTTGAATAAGAAATATTATGTGCCTCACAGCATTTACAACCCAATATGCCAGTGAACACAACAGTTTCTACCACAGGGAAAGTAGTTATTTGCAAGTTTTACATAAATGCAGTCAGTAACTTTTCATCTTCCTCTGCCCAAGAGATGGTGATACTTACTGCAGCATCAGAGCCATTCCCTACTCAGATCATATCTTCCCCTGTTACCCAAGGGATGGCATTGCTTGTGTATATAGTCAATGCCTGGCTATATACCACCCTGCTTACATACAGTAAGAATTAGAGCAGGAATGTGATTTGGTAGCATAGAACCTAAACATTTAGGGCAGGAAGGGGAATGGAATCAAGGATGAAGTGGCAGAACTTCCAAGATAACCTGAGCCACAGGAGCCTCTCAATATCATTGTTCCCTGTTCCAAAGCACCAGGCTGTTTTGAAGCTAAAAAGAACTTACACCTCTTGGATATCTCCTATGTGGCAGTCTGGTTCTCTCTACCCAGAGAACATGTGCCCAAGTTACTGACACACCTCTGACCTGCACTCTTTCAAACTAGGACATTGTAACACCCAGTAGTTAGTACACAGTAGTATGAATACAGCAGCACTGTACTTAGGCCAGGGCAACAAAAAGAGTGTGTGTGTTTGTTTTTCCCACCCACCAGTCCAGCTGTAACTAGGCCACTGTTAATGAAATAACTGTCCTGCATGGAGTTCTGAGCTGGGAGACAAAAATAGCGCCAACCAGTTTGTTCTAGGAGTGGCACTAGTGTCAGCACAGGACTATTTTGCCATCAGTGGGCAAAGGACATTGCTGATCCGGTGGCCTTTACTCTGGATACCATTCTAAAGACCTTCCTGACCTCCTGATCTGGTAATGCATATTTGTCACTCTTACCCTGCTTTATTTTATTTTTCCCCTGTAGGCCTTATTACTAACTGACTCATCACACATGTACTTTTGTTTGTTTGTTTTGTCTCTTATTAAATGTACACTTAAGAGCCAGAACTCTGGATGCTCTGCACTCAAACCCAAGCCTGCTCAGTCTCAGCAAACATCTGTCAAATGAAAGAACAGTCATTCAGTGACCATCAGAGTTTCAAGAAGTGCTGTCATGTTGACCACGATTATCCCTTGCTTCATGTTTGAGAAGCAGTTTTTAGTAACTGCTATCCCAAAAGTTGGTGTTACAATTCCTAGGACAAAAGGGACTGTCACATTGTAGTGGAAAGAGCAAGTAGTCACTTGGTAACTGCCTCTACAATCTTAGAAAGATTAGTCTTTCCGGGCCATAGTTAATCAGTACAATGGAAATAATAATAATAGCCTTACATTATGGAGAATTAAATGAGATACTGTGTATAGCATGCCAGTTAGTGTGCGACAAGTTTCAGGGTATTCAGTTAATGTTAGTTCTCCTCTCAGTGAGAGTCTGTCAATTTCATGATTTCTTTAAGGGAAATAAACTAATTATTACTATTATTATTTTGACTCTAAGCAGTTTTACTGAGTAGACCATTCATGAATATTAAACTGCTTATAACTCCCACGTTTTCTTTTAATTCTTTTAATTTACCTAACTTTTTTATTGTTGTAATCTGTGAAATAAACTAGATCCCAAAGAAACTAATTATTACTCTTTAGCCCCTTAATTTCAGTCGGATTTGTTCTGAACCCATAAAACCTCAATAATTTCTTAGTTGAAGGAATTCCCTAACTGTTTTTTAGCAACTGTAATTCTTTCTCTAAGTATTCTGATTTTTACACTGAAGACAATGTTCTAACACTTTGTAGCCACAGCATTGGCTTTCATTTAATCATAAGATCTTCACTGAGTTTTTGTCTTTTATGTAAATTTGAGAAGGCTTGGCATTTGATGATTATTGATAGCCACACAGGAGTTTTTCAGGTAGAAAATGGGTTGTCTCTTACTCTTTTAAGAGAAGGGGTAGGGGAGAGAGTTAAGTTGTTGTATGTTTGAGATATCTTTTACTTATATTTAGGATAGTTGTGGGACAAACAGCATGAAGAAAGGGGTAGTCCAAAGATAAGGGGCAGAAGACTTAAGACCTGAGTTTGTCAGCTTTACAAAAAAAAAGAGAACATGAGATGAATAAAGCTTTGTTCTTTGTATTAAACTTAGGCTGCAGACATTAAACATATATTTGCATTTCCTTTTAAATAAACAAACTATGAGATATCGTCTAAGTGTATAATCTACATCAGCAAAGACTTATTGATCTTTCCTATATTGCATTATACTCTTCTATAAACTTAAAAGTTTCTTCCTTTCCTAGATTGTTATGGTTAAAAAATATCAATCTGGCTTATATATATAGTAGATGAAAATCAAACTTTCTGAGGAAAAGCTTTTATTATCCACTGGAAGAATAAAATACTATGAATCTTGAAGTTTAGTATAAACATTTTATTTCCACTTTTGCTCCAGTGATGATACTGAGACACTGAAAGTTAGAGGTATCTTATCAGTGGTTTCATTAAAAAGCTCCTCGCAAGCATACCCTTGTTAATAAACTGGAGAAGAATGAAAAATTGCCAAGGTCGAAATAAAGCACATAGCTCTGAAATTTGATACAGTTTTAACATAGACCAATTTATGTAAAGAGTAGTATTTTAAGCAAATGGGAAAGTTGCTGACTTTGGATGTTAAAAGAGCCCCACCTCACTGCTTTGCCTAAAAATGGTTTCTTATTGATGACTAGGAAATCTGATTGGTTTAACATATGTTCATTGGTTGCATGCATAGCTTGTTGTTTTGTTTTTTTTAACTGAATTTATTGGGACCTCTTGTTTAAATCTTTCTTCCACTGTGTCAGCTTTTTTCCTGTTAGCCTGTGGAGCAGAAGCTGATGTGGGGGTGTAAGCTAATCTTATAATTGACAGACTTCTTATGTCCTTCAAAAGATAGCACTGATTGTGTTCTCAATAATATACTAAAATGAAGAGTTATGAAAATAAATTTTCATAATAAAATTTATAACCAATATCAGGTGTAATATTTAAATTCTTATATTCCTTTTTTCAATAGACTTTATATCTTTAGCAGTTTTAGGTTCACAGTAGAATTAAAGGAAAGTAAATAGATGTCCTGTATATCATCTACCTCCATGCATGGCCTCTATTGTCACCATCCCCCACCAGAATGGTACATTTGCTACAATTGATGAGTCTATATTAACACATCATTATCACCCAGAGTCCATAGTTTACATTATGGTGTTGTACATTCTATGAGTTTGGACAAATGTATGACAACATATATCTACCATTATAGTATCATACAGAAGAATTTCACTCCCACAAAAATCCTCTGTGCTCCACCTGTTCATCCCTCCCTCTCCCAACCCCTGACAGCCACTAATCCTTTTACTGTAGTCATGCTTTTGCCTTTTTCAGAATGTCATATAGATGGAATCATAGCCTTTTCAGATTGGCTTCTTTCACTTAGTAATGTGCTTTTAAGTTTCCTCCAAGTCTTTTCATAGTTTGATATGCTCATTTCTTTTTACAATAGCATTGACTAACACTTCGTTGTCTGGATTCAGTGCACTTTATCCATTCACCTACTAAAGGATGTTTTGACATTTTATAAATAAGGTTGCTATAAACATCTTTGTGCAGGTTTTGGGGAGAAGGTAAGTTTTCAGCTCATTTAGGTAGACATTAAGGAGCATGATTGCTGGGTTGTATCATAAGAACATGTTTAGTTTTATAAGAAAATACCAAACTGTCTTCCAAAGTTGCCTGTAACATTTTGCATTCCCAACAGCAATGAATGAAAGTTCCTGTTACTCTACAATCTCACTAGCATTTGGTGTTTTCAGTGTTTTAGATTCAGGCCCTCCTAATAGGTGTGTGGTAGTATCTCATTGTTTTAAATTGCAGTTCCCTAATGAGATACGATTTTTGAGCATTTTTTCATAGTCATTTGCCATCTGTGTATCATCTTTGGTGAGTTGTCTGTTAAGATCTTTTGCCCATTTTTAAATTGGGTTGTGCATTTTCTTGTTGGTTTTAACAGTTCTTTGTATAGTTCAGGTAAATCTTTTATCAGATGTCTGATAAATACTTTGCTTTTTTTTCTCTAGTCTGTGACTCGTCTGTCTTGTCATTCTCTTGAATATATTTTTTTCCTAAAAATGTTTTTTTGGCTTTGAGGGCATCTAAGTTTTTGTTTGTTTACTTTTCCATATTAATTAAACTATGAATTCAGTCTTTTAGAAGTTCATGTTTATATTCCAGATACACAAAGCATTGATTCTACATATCAGTTTTTCTTCATCAGATTTTGAGATTTAAATTGACAGTAATTTAGTTTTCTCATTTTATAACCTGCCTTAGAAAGAAAAAAAATTATGTTAAAATATACAGTCAACATATTTTATAATTCTGTTATTGTGTATTTGTATAAAGAGGGAATAGGATGGTGTAATCTTTTACTCAAATGAATATAATAGTCAGAATCGAGTCTTATCTTACTCCCCCCCATTGTTAAAATAAAGTTCTTTGTTCTTTGTCTAATTGGGTTTACAGATAGTATTTCCAGACTTGGTTATTATGTTAATTCCCTGGCTCCTTTCATTGAAAAGGATCAGATTTCTGACAAACAAGTCCACTGTCTTTCTGCACCACTCTTTTCTTCACTGTTCCACGGAGTTGTAAATACTAAGCTTGAAATGAAGGGAGACAGCCTAGAATGTGGAATGGAAAGGGAAACAATTTAGAAACAGGAATGCCAGCGAAATTTAGGAAAAGAGTAAATAACTTTATTAGTGAATTGAGTTTTGGGGTTTTTTTTGCCCTGAAAGCATTAGGTTTTTAATGAAGAAATAACACATGGATTGTGGTTTTTAATCAGAATCCAGAGCAGATAAGTGGCTGATACAATTACATTTTTCTTTTTTTTTTTTAAGTTTTATATTTAATAAAGAAATCTACAAGATGGCAATTTATATTTTCTTAGTTATTTTCCAAAGAAATCAAAATTTAGAATTAGAAAGTAATCCTTTATAAGCAAAGGTTTATTTACATGAGTTTTTCCAACTGGAGAGTAATGCTGCAGTGTACTATGGCCTATTGCTGGAAGGTGCAAGTAAGTACCAGTATCACAGTACTACATGTTTTAGGAAAAATAGACAAATGGTTTAAGTATAGTTTTGGTTCTTGATAATTTTATTACTACTTACATAAATTTTATAAAGTAGAAGTTACTAGAAATTAAATATTTGACTTTAAAAAAATTATCAGTGAATTAATGGAAACATTTGAGTTTATTGACAGGAGACATTAATTACATTGTATCGTTTTCCCAAAGCAGAGTAAAAACCTAGAATAGAGCACAGTTTCCTCTACTTGTATTGGTTTATTAATAAAATTGTGCCTACATCTTTTATTAAGGAGTTTTATATGGTTGCAAAGAAATTGATGCTGGGTTGTTTGTTTGGTTTTGTTTTTACTATTTCTATGATGATGATACGTTTTCAGTGTAACAGAACAGAACATTAGTATGCAAAAGGTTGCCTGAGCTTTGGAGCGGGGGGCATAAATTCAGAGGTAGGGATTGTGCATGTGTAACAAATTGGCAGGCCCATAGATAGCTCATATATACTCATGTTTCCCCTACACCAGAACCCGAAATTCATCTGCTTCCGATAGACAGAATGCAACTCATTAATTTATTAAATCACCAATTTCTTTTTCTCTAGAATGTGGAATCTAATATTATAAGGGATCTTCAAGTCTGCATCTTTAAGAGAGTCCTTTTTATAATATGTGACCTCTTTGTGAACAGGGTTATTTTTTAAATATACTCTATATAAATGTGTGAAGTTACATCCTTACTGAAATTCAATGCTAGCAATATCCTTAAGGATAAAAAGACTTCTAAGAAAATTCACATAATTTTAATATTAGTTTATCTATCTGAAGTGTTTTTGTTCACAGGAAGAACAAGCAGCAAAACTGAAAGCTGAGAAGATCAGAGTTGCCCTAGAGAAAATTAAAGAGGCACAAGTGAAAAAGGTGATATTTGGGCTTTTACAGATTTATAAAGAATTGCCTTGTTTACATAATGCCTCTCTAAGATAGGGAGAGGTAGAGGGTTATTTCTTCCTAATATATTTTCACACGTATTTTTTGTGGATAAAATGCATTATTAAAGAAGTAACTTCCTAGTTTTTACATTATCCTAAAAGAGTAAGACAAAATAGTCTTACAATTTTAAGAAGGCTTTAAATTTGTTAAGCCTTCTTAACCTAATTTTAACCTATTTGATACCTAATTTTAAAGTTTTTTTTCATATTAAAGTTTAATTTATATTTAACTAAGAATATTACTGAGAACATTGCCCAAAATCGGGAGAATTTTCTAAAATGTCTAATTTTTTACTTGCATTTAATTTTCTTTTTGCCTGTTATAGCTGGTGATTAGAGTCCACATGTCTGATGATAGTTCTAAAACAATGATGGTGGATGAGAGGCAGACAGTGAGACAAGTACTGGATAACCTGATGGACAAATCCCACTGCGGTTACAGTTTAGACTGGTCACTGGTGGAAACCATCTCTGAGTTACAGATGGGTTAGTAATCCCATTGCTTCAATTACTTTCTAATTTCTATGTAATTCCAACAGTTTTTGTGTTGACAAAAGCACCTTGAGACATATTTGTATGTATTTTTTTCTATAATATAACCATGGCTTTTTGTATTATCTTTTTTTCAAGTATTTTGAGGTTTCTTTGAACATGAGATTTGTAATTCACTTCAGATTTTTTTTACATGAAATGTATGACATTTTTAATAGAGACAAATATTTCCAGCACAGGGGGGGGAAAAGGAGTAATGTAAAAGATTTTTGTGTTATACCCAGTCCACGAACTCTTTCACCAAACAGGAAGACATAAAGGGATTACTGAGAAAGTTCTGTGATTTAAGAGTTTATGGAACATTGCATCAATATTTAATATCAACAAAAATTAATCATACATGTAACTCAAGGAAACACACTGATACATGAGTAAAAATTCTTGTTTTTTTTTAATCTTTAGTAAAATCTAGCTAAACCAAAGTTGTTTTTTTTTAAGGTAACAAAGTGCTATCTCCCTTCAAATAAGAACTGCGTAGATCAACACATTTACTAAAGACCAGTTTATTATTCCCATTTGTATTGAAGTCTTTACACCAGCATTTGACTCTCAGGGGAAACATAAAGCACAAATTTCTTATTTTTAGCTAGATGTACTAAGTCTTAGTTCCTTATGATTTGTATTTAGGTATGGTGTTTCCTAATTGTAAACATTTTCATTTTTTATATCACCAATGACTCTTTCAAAAGGTGTTAGTTGTATGATTACAGAAACCTTGCAATAATTATTTTAGTATACTTTATTGAATCAGTAATCAATTTTAACTTGGTATTTTATTTAAAATATTTATTTGCATTTCTCTTACTACTTATATCTTTATAAATATTCAAAGCAATTTCTGGAGAAATAAAAATTTAATTATTAACCCATTCTCTCAGAATATATGTACACAACTCCCAAAACTAAATCATAAGTTCTTAGAACTTCATTAACATGTATAAAAATATACTCTCAATACTCATCTATATCTGTTCTTAATGAATTAGAAAATTTGAGTTCACAGATGCAGTAGTATGATAATACATAGAAAATGTGTGTTATTTCCATGGTCGTAGCTTAAAAACTTATATTTCTGTATTACCTTTAATATAATTGACCATGGTGTCTTAAGTAACTGTTATTTAATCATACATGGCACACAGTGCATCGAGTATAGTATGAGGTCAGCTCATAGATACAGAGATCAAACTGATTGGTTGCCAGAGGGGAGGTGCGAAAAAGGTGAAGGAATTAAGAACTACAAATTGGTAGTTACAAAATAGTCACAGGGATGTAAAGTACAGCATAGGGAATATAGTCAATTAATATTGTAATAAGTGTGTACAGAGCCGGGTGGGTACTTGAATGATCAGGGGAACCACTTTGTAAAGTCTTTGGTTGTGTATCCACTATGCTGTATACGTGAAATTAGTAAAAATTAATAATGAATGTAAACTATAATTGAAAAATAAAATTTAGAAAATATATAGTATGTGATTATTCAGTATTTGTTGAATGAATAAAAGAAAACAAGGGACTACTAAGAGACCAAAATAAGATGGTGAAAACAAATTATAAATGTAAATTACTCAATTAAACAACAAAGATTATTAGAAAGGATGAATAAACAAAATGCAGCTGTTTGCTGTTTAGAAAAGACCTATTACCTAAATACACATAAATGCTGAAAGTAAAAGGAATATGAAAGGACACTGACCAAAAGAAAGATAATTATATTAATATCAGACAAAATAGACTTTAAGCAGAATGCATTACTGGAGGTGAAGAGAACACACACATTCACCAAGAAGAGACCATCTTTCCAAATTTTATCTATTAGCATTAAAATGTATAAAGCAAAAATTGACAACTACCAGAAGAAATTCTCAGGTCAGCCTTCATAGTACAACCTTTTCAGTGATCAGTATAATTAAGCAGACAAAAAAGAATAGGAGATTTGAAAAATAATTTGTTTTATCTATGAAATATGTTTAATAAACTACCTAATGACAGAAAAATATATATTCTTTTCAAGCAGAAATGGAATATTTCCAAAAATTAAGTATGAGTCCATAAGTGACTCTCAGTTAATTTCAAAGAATTGTCTAGGATAGGTTCTTTGAATATATGTTCAGTCTAAAGTACATGTACTTTGATTCTTATTTGGAAATTAGAAAATACACCTATGTTTTAAATTAAACAAAACCCATGGATCAAAAAAGTAATTATCTTGGAAATTTTTAAAATTGTAAGAACTGAATGCTGTTGGAAATACTTAATATCAGAATTTATGAAATGCAACTAACGTTTTTTTTAAAGGATAAGATAGGCAAACGCTGAAAGCTGAAGGCAACCTAGAAATTAGAAGACCTAGATTCTAGTCCTAATTCTTCTACGTAGCCGCTGTCTGACCTTGCTGAAATCACTTAACCCCATTAGGACATGTTTCTTTATTTGAAAGTAAATGGAAAACCAGTGACTTCTAAGGGCCCAGGCCTGTGGTGTCAGTAAAGATTCTGTGGTTCTGCTGACAGTCATTTTGCAAGGTTTCATGTCTTTGATGCAGTTCTGATGAATAATACTAACAAAATATTGATATTTTATTTTGGGACAGAGAGAATCTTTGAAGACCACGAAAACTTGGTTGAAAATCTTCTTAATTGGACAAGAGATAGTCAAAACAAGCTTATATTTATGGAGCGTATAGAAAAATATGCACTTTTCAAAAACCCACAGGTGAGACTCAGTAACTTACAGAAGTTGAGATTTTTTTTTATCTTCACCTGAAGATATGTTTATTGATTTTAGAGAGAGAGGAAGAGAGAAAGAGAAACATCGACTGGTTGCCTCTAGTATGTGCCCCGACTGGGGATCAAACCCTCAACCTAGGTATGTGCCCTGACCAGGGATCGAACCTGGAACCCTTTGGTGCACAGGACGATGCTCCAACCAACCAAGCCACCTGGCCAGGGCAAGGTTAGGCTTTTTAAATGTTTATATTATTCTATTACTGCTAAATTAGTAAAGTTAAAAGACTGAAAAGCACCTGGTTGGAACGCTATGGTTGTAAAACCCCATGAGAGCATGCGCTACTGCTGAGGCAGCAGGACTGCTAGGCGTAGGTGTCAAGGCTCAAAGAAGTTACCAGCCCACAGAGCCAGGTGCGGTGAGTCCGTGAGAAAACAGAAGTAGCTTCACAGAGTTATCAGGTGTCTGCTCTCTCTAATCCAGAGCTGTATTCAAAAGCCATTTGTTTTGTATGTTTCTCATCCATGAAGGAAAAGTACTTACATATTTAAGTTTTTCTACTTCAGTCATTTATCTGGTTGACACTTTATTTTGATTTCTTTCTTAAATTATTTTTTTAAATCACAGTAACTTTGATTATAACTGGCTCCATATTCTAATATATGTTACCTTGATTTGTTTGGCATCTTTGCTTATTCTAGAATGATGTTTGAGTTAATACTTCTACTGCCTGAATATTTTATGAAAATCAGAATGTGAGAGAAACCAACCCCACTATAAAAGTAGTAATGAGGAAAAATAGTAGCAGTGTTAAAGGTATACAATAGTTATCTTTTAGGAGACTTAATCATGACACATCCTTACTGGATACTTTAAGTGAAGAATACACATTTGGGAATACCGACAGATCTTTTTTTATGGGTGATTATAAAAAATTTTTCATAAGGCTTAAAATTAGACTTTATATTTTAGTTGAGTCACCCAAATGAGATTATGATAGTCTTAGAGAATTTTGGATTTCGTCTTTAAAAGCCAGAACATAGATTAAATTTTCTGCATCTGAATCAGTTAAGCTCAGCATATTTTAAGGAAATTCGCCTTCTCTCTTATACTTAATAATTTGTAAACCTTTCAGGCCCTGGAAGTGTAGCTTTCATTAGATGTATCAAAACATATTTGCCAGCTACTGCATGTAGTACCACCTCAGGATTTGAGGGAAAGCCGTTTATGGAGTAATTCAAGGTAAATGGATAAGGTAAAGAGGAGGCCAGTGTTAGCCATTTAACGGTGATGTCTGTGCACAGGTTGCTTTTCAAAGAGTGTTCCTTCTCACTCTGCATAGGCAGGAATTGACAGAGTTGCTGTGTCTCTAGAAGAAATCACATATGCACTTGTGCTGAGGGAATAATATAATGAGTGTATCCTTTAATTTCATTTATCATTTTTCCAGAACTATCTTCTGGGGAAAAAGGAGACAGCTGAGATGGCCGATAGAAACAAAGAAGTGCTGTTGGAGGTATGACTCTTCATTCCCCCGTCACCCTTTTTCCGTGTACCTTATGATATTAAAATATTAAGCACATTTTTTTGAAATATGCTAATACAGTATATTTATTTTTGCAGTTGTAGCTAGAGAATACTATGTTCTTCTATAGCCTGATGGAGTGAGTTCAACTGTGTGAATGTTAGGCCACTGAAGAAGCTTTTAAAAACTGTTATTTTTGCCATGCATATACTGGTGTATTAAAAGGAGCATGTGCTGTTTGAGGCTGATGAGTGAGAGAGCAGGCTGGTCAGTGACACATGTGACTGTGCTGTTGCATCTGCTTACCCAGAGAGACATTTGAATATAATTAGCTGTTTACAAAATATTTCAAGCCTCAGTCTTACGTAACTGAATTTTTAAAAGCATAATCATTTTTAAAAGTACGTGCATCTCCTTATTTTGAAAAGTAATAGAGCAAATTCAAATAAAATTGAATTTTTGGCTTTTTGCCTTTTGCTGATAAAAGGGAATGTTCAAAAACCTAAATAAATTACTTACTTAGCAACAAGGCAATTAGGAAAATGACAATCAGTACTCAGCTTTTCATATGATACTACAGTTAAGAAAAATCCTCTATAATTCATAATTTTTCAGTACTTTGGGGAGAGATAAATTAATTTAGGCTCAGAATGTCCTACATTAATGTCGAGTGAGCATTTCTAAAAATCTTTTACCAAATACATGATTACTTTTTATTTTAAAATTAAATTTTTATCTAAGTATAGGCAAAATTCAAAATTTTAAGTTTGTTTACATTTATTTCAGTTTAGTATTAAATATTTTAAAACTCAACTCCTTTGTTTTTAGAGTCATGTAAGTTGATACATTTTTTAAATTTTGAAAGTTTAATCATTCACTTAGCATGTTGCTTTCTTTTAAAATGTATTCCTATTTTGCTTGACAACTAAGCTAAATGTGTTGATAATTTAGAGAAAAATAAAGTTCAGTGCTTATATTAGCTCTGACACTTTTATTAAATTTATTATATGGATGCTGTTTACAAATTCATTAAGTGCTGCCCAATCGACATTTAATCTTAGTTTCTTCAAAACAGTTTTTAGGTAAAAGTTCATAGGGATTGCCATAGTAGTTCCAAAATAAATCCATGTTATGTTAAGAATAGAAAATTTTGAGGTAAAATTAGCAACATAGTTATATTACAAAGCCATTTTAGCTTAATTACATTGCCATGTTTTTCACACGGGTAAACACAACTTTGTTGTGAGAATCCAAAGATCATATAAGTCTTTCCAACTTATTTTCTTATTGTAGGAATGTTTCGGTGGAAGTTCTGTAACTGTACCAGAAATTGAAGGAGTGCTTTGGTTGAAAGATGATGGCAAGAAGTCCTGGAAAAAGCGTTATTTTCTCTTGCGAGCATCTGGTATTTACTATGTCCCTAAAGGAAAAGCAAAGGTGTGTCCCCTTCTGCTGGCTTTTGAATTTCTTCATTATGCTAATTGGTTTTACTTTGTAGTGAATGTGTTGACAAAGTGAATCCAGGCTCTGATTTGTTTCAACTTCCGTAGGACACATAGAATGTTGCTTTGCTTATTGATATGTTATAAAGAAAAAGAAACCTGAAAATGTTTGCTCTCTCGTCAGTAGTTTGGCCCTTCTGGAGTCTCTTGCCAAATTTGAACCATACTATTTATTATTTTTGAAACTTCTGAAAGAGTGGTTTTTTGCTTTTTGTTGTTTGGGGAGAATAGCTTTCTGGGATTATAGCTGTTTCAGCCTTGCTTGGGTAATAATGCTTCTTCTGAGAGCCCCCTTGGTACCTATCAGTTCTGTGCTTACTGAGGGCCAGCCCTGTTTTAAGCTCCTTAGAGTTTCACTTCTTCCAGTCTGTACTGCCATCCTGAGAGGTTGCCCCTATTTAACTGGTGAGGAAACCCTGACTTAAGAAATACTTGATATATGTGTGTACAGACACTGAACTACGTTCTTTTCTTGTTCTTTCCAGAGAGCTCTGTTGTACTATATTGTATTTAATATACTATCCAGCGATCCCCAGGGACTGGTTTTGTGGAAGACAGTTTTTCCATGGACAGGGGGTGGGGTTTGGTTGGGGGAGAGTGTTTCAGGATGATTCTGCTACATTACATTCACGTTCACCTCCTGCTGTGCGGTACAGTTCCTTATAGGCATGGACTGGTATCAGTCCATGGCCCGTGGATTGGGACCCCCCCCCCCCCCCCCCCGCAAAAACTGGAATTATATTTTGGAGGGCAGGCCCCTTGCAGTAACAGGTTTTCCCCACTAGGTAAGTGTTCTAGGAACCCATCTGTATCAGTGTACCAGCTGGCATTGTTGTGAGAGGCTGCATTCAGCTTCAGTGATTTTTTTTTTTTAAGACACTTTCAGAGTTTGCCCATTTCTTGATGGGTGATTCAAAAGCACACCTTCCCATACTGTGTTTAGTGTTCAGCAGTTTTTGACCAAAAACCACATGACCCCGTGGCCCACGCTCATTCATTCAATTTCTCCTGCGTGACTTTGTTTCCCTGGATGAAAAAAATCCTCAAAGGAAAATGTTTTGCTGATGTGGAAGAGGTGTAACAAAAACATGGCAGAAGCACTGAAAGGCATCAAAATTGGCGAGTTCAAAAACTGTTTTGAGCAGTGAAAAAATGTCTTGATAGGTGTATTGCATCAAACGGAGCATACCTTGAAGGTGATTGAAATTTAAACATGTAAGAATAAACACAAAATTTTTTAATAAACAAATTCCATTCTTTTTTTGGGGGGGGGGTCCTCCCTTGTATTTAAAGTTTCTTTAAAATACCACTTTTTTCCAAGCGAGTCAGTGTTCATTGTAAATGGCAAGGCAGTAAGTAAAGGGATGGCCTTTTTTGTTGCATCATGGATTAAAAAAGAAACATTTATAGGAAATCTCACTGTCTCCTGCAAAAGAGCAGTCATTTCTACTTGGTAAGGTTTTGATTTTTCTACTAGAAACTGTTACCAGTTATGATATTTTGCCTGCTTACACATTATTTATTCTTTTGGGTGTTTTTTATCTTAGGTCTCTCGGGATCTGGTCTGCTTTCTCCAGCTGGATCATGTGAATGTTTATTATGGACAGGACTATCGGAACAAATACAAAGCCCCTACAGACTATTGTCTGGTGCTAAAGGTAAACATGTATCTCTTTTTAGTAATTTTAATTGATACTAGACATAGAGTGGGTTATTGGACACATTTTAGAATAGTTTGGATCTTCACTGAGTATATTGTTCCTGCTTTTTTTCCTATAGATTTTTAAAGGAATGGTGAACGACAGTGAAAAGAATAGCGTGCTGTACCACACCTGGCCCTTATCTAAGTAGCCTTTATTAGATTGATGCTGCTAAGAAATAGATACCAGATTATAAGCTATGAGTGGTGATATATAAAATAGATCAGATTATAAATCTGAGACTTTCATTTAATTACAGGCTTATTTTAGCAAATCTTGAATCAGAGCCAAATGTGGGACATAGAAATTTTGTGTGGTTTAGTTTTTCTCCTGTACTCTCACTCAGCAGAACCATCGGAGGGCACTGTGCCCAAGGTCAAAGTGGACTGGTTCTCATCGGGTCCAGAAATAATTTTTGGCTCCCCAACTCCCAAACATTGCCCTGATAATTCATGCATGTCTGAACTGTTTTTAGGGGTTTTTTTTTTCCTTCTTGATTCACATTTGTGAGCTTTTCACACCAATTAAACCTGTACTTTGAGAACTGACATTTCTAGTGAACTTTCAGTGATCTTTTGGGACACTGATAAAAAGAACTTTTAGCCCTGGCTGGTGTGGTTCAGTGGATTGAGCATCGGCCTGTGAACTGAAAGGTCACTGGTTTGATTCCTGGACAGGGCACATGCCTGGGTTGCAGGCCAGGTCCCCAGTTGGGGTGTGCAAGAGGTAACTAGTCACACATTGGTGTTTCTTTCCCTTTCTTTCTCCCTCCCTTCCCCTCTCTCTAAAAATAAATAAATAAAATCTTTTTTTTTTAAATCCAATTTTTAAACATCCGGGATAATTACAGAGATGATTATGTCTTTCTCATTGGTTTCCTCATAGTAACCCCTTGGTAGCTACTTAGACCTACTTGTTTGTGTCATTGCCAGCTTTTGCTTTTTTGAGAATTATCAGTTGGTTTGGGGTAGTGGTGTTTGTTTAGGGTTTTCAGATAGAATTTTTATTGCTTTGACAAAATTAGGTGTATCATTATGATAACCCTTTAATAGGTAGTCCTTTCTTGGAGAATACCACTTTATCATTTAGATCACAGCAACAAATAATTTTTTAAAAGTCAGTATAAAGTAGCTTAATTCAGCAGTTTCAAAATGAGATCCTACGTCCCCTGGGAGCCTATGAGGTCCTGTCAAGGGGTCCATGATGTCAAAATCACTCTTCAAGTAATGCTAAGATGTTATTTGCCTTTTACACTCTCATTCTCTCAGAAATATATAATGAAGTTTTTGAAGAGGTTATATGACATGTGATATCTTTCCTCTCTTGGATAGTGGAATGTGTATTTGTATATTCTTGTATTTTAATTTTTTCTAAGTTTTAATTTCTTAAAAGGTAAATATCAGTAAACACAACCCATATAAATCAGAGTCATTTGGGGATCTCATAACATGAGGACAGTAAGAGTTGGTTATTTTAATGGCTGAAGATTGTCAGTGAGAATCCCCATTCTTTCCATCTGTCCCGTTCCATCTTCTAGATAACAGCTTATTCTCAGGCTGGCGCACTTCACTGTCACAGATGGCCACTGCAGTTCTAGGCATCACATGGTGGCCTAGAAAACCCATTCATCTGTCATTGAACACTTACGTTGTTCCATATCTTGGCTATTGTAAAAAAAATGCTACAATGAACATAGGGGGTGCGTACATCTTTTTAAGTAGTGTTTTAATGTTCTTCTAGAGATACCCATGAGAGGGATTGCTCAATCATATGATAGTTCTATCGCTAATTTTTTGAGAAACCTCCATACTGTTTTCCATAGTGGCTGTACCAATATCCAGTCCAAGCAACAGTATATAAGGGTTCTCTTTTTTCCACATCATCACCAACACTTGTTATTTCTTGCAATATTATTTTAATCCCTTTTGCAGCTTATATAAAACTCCTAGGTTAAGAATATTTTTCTTCTAAGGGGTTCTTTCTTTTTTTCTTTTTTTTCTTTTTTTTCTTTTTCTTTTTTTTGAGGTTTAGAGGGATCAAAAGTATTGGAATGGGTAGAGTGTTACATATTTCTATTTTTTTAACTTCTTGCATGTTAGTTGGGGGAACTAATTTTCAAGCTTGTATGTGTTGTACATGCAGCAGCTTTCCTTTAGCACTTGGACTATGCTTTTAGAGCATCACTTTTAGTTATAGAGTTTTAGAAATTATCTTTCTCAATCTAATTTTTGGCATAAAGAGAAAAAATCATCTAATAGCACAATAGTAATCCAGAATTTCATATTCTAAAATGATGTTATTTTATTCCCAAAATATACCTTTTATTAAAGAATGCAAACTTTCCAAATCAACATCATTTTAGAAATGAAATAATGACCTTTCTGTATAGCTATTCATTTGTTTGGTGGGGAGGGGGGCAATTTCGTTATATGTTTTCTTTGGAGTATTTAAGAATTTAATGCAAAGCTTCTGATTTTTAGCAAGAATGTGTCCTCCATACTTGCCCTTAGCTCGTGTATCATGTTAAAAGTGGTGGAATAATGTTTGGGGAAAAGAGAGAAGAGGCAGCAAATTTGAAAGATTTCACCACTTACAAGACAATAGTATAGAATAATATTTAACAGCAGGGCCCTGAAATGAGATCACATCATTTCAAGCCATGGTTCTTTCACTTGTTGGCCAGTAACTTCAAATGTGATCTTAACTTCTCTGTGCCTCCACTTCTCAGATTGTGGAAGTAATAATTTGTAACTCATAGGGTTTGATGGAGTGAGCTAAAATATGTGAAATATTTAGGATGATGCTAGTACATAATAAGTGCTTGATAATCACCACTTTTAATGAAAAAACAGTATATCAGCAGAACAGGCATCCTCCTGAGGAATTGGCACAGAGCCAGAATGATCATAAGGAAGGCTATAGAATGAATGTCTTTATTATGTGGGAGGTTTAAAAAAAGGAATTTTTGAGGTCCTAAAATGAACATTTTAAACTAAGCAAGTAATCTGCAGATACTCAAATAATTGTATCATAGTGCTCTTCAGGGTGCTATTTGGAATCTCAGGTTAAAGAGATGAGGAGAGATGGTTAAAAGGTTTGATTTTCTTTGAGGTTGTATTGGTTTAAAAAAATAAAAATTCCCTTCGTGTTGAGTGTGTTCGTTCTCTCTCTCTCTCTCTGTCTCTCTCTCTGTCTCTCTCTCTCTCTCTCAGGCAGGGTCACTGCCGCAGTTGAACACCTATTGTGGTAGCCCTTAAAATGGAAGGAATCAGCCAGAAATAGTTTTGTAAATCACTATAAAGGAAGGGGTGTGGATAAAGGCTGAGAGCCATCCTGTAGCCCCTTGGTCAGATGTCTGAACCCTGCCCAGGGGCAGTGTCTCAAGAAGCAGGAGATGGAGAACAGCTCTTCCAGCCCTAACTGCCAACACTGAAGAAAGCTCTTTTTTCCGTCATCCCATTTTATCTTCTGCACAACCTGTGTGTGACCTCTTCTGTTTCGTTAACCCTGTATCCCAACATCTGTTTGAAGCATCTGGCAAATAGTTCTTACTCAACAAGAATTTGTTGAATGAATGAGTTAAAATTCCTCTTTCTCTTACAGAAAAATACATACTCCTCTATCTGTCCTCCTTTGCTCTTTCAAGATTGCTATGGTGGTTTATTATGGTGTGATTTAATGAGGACAGGGGCCTATATTCCAAGAGAAAGCTGTAGAGCCTATGTTATCAGGAGAAAAAGTCATTAGGTATTATTTTGCTGACCTCTTATTGTCGTGGGGTTATAGTTAAAACTGATTGTAGCTGTCAACAACTAAATTCTAAATTGGTATTAAATGTTGTATCATAGGAGCTGAGCTCTGTAAAGCAATGTATAGAATAGAATAAGTAAATGAATTTACATTTCTCTCATTGTAAACCAGAGAGATCGCTCTCTAACAGAACAGATACATAACTTATAATGGTGGCCATATATTCCTGCTACATTGAGAACTTATTCAAATTGTTTATCTTATTGATTTCATAGGTTTCCACAACAAACAAATATGGTTAAAAATTTTAAAGCCTCTTATAAGTGGACATAAATTTAAATAATCAGGTAAAATCTAGCCATTTTAAAAAATTATTTTTCAGAATAACTAAAAAGAGAAGAATAATTAACAGTCATCACATCCAAACCAACTGTGATTTAGGGTTTTCTTCCCAGGGACCTAGTGGTTGTAGCCTAGTAGAGTCAAAATACCTTAAGTCTAGCCCTCATTGGGTCTTTCAGTTGGTTGGAATGTCTTATGTCTTCCCATACACCAAGAGGTAGCAGGTTCGATTTCTGGTCAGGGCACATACCTCGGTTACAGGTTCAATCCCTGGACGGGGCATGTACAGGAGGCAACTGATTGATGTTCTCTCTCTCTCCCTCTTCCCCTCTCCTTACCTCTTACTCACCCCTCCCTCTCTTCCTCCCTCCTTCCCTCCCTCTTTTCCTCTCTTTCTAAAAGCAATAAACAAATCCTCAGGTGAAGATTTAAAAAAATACCTTAAGTCTGTTCTAATACTTGCATTTCATACTTAAGGTCAAGTCAACCACCTCCCATCCAACCCTCAGATGAAAAACACATCGGTTGTGAAAACTAAATCTGATGAGGCAGTTGATAAGCTGCTCTTCCCCTGGAAGGCCTGTGCTGTGTGGGGGTAGAGGAGCCTCTAGAGCAGAGCTCAGTCCACAGGGAGCACCACTGCAATGGTGGGAGTGCCCCATGGCGTCCCAGGTGCTGTGCCCAGGGCTTGGTCCACCCCACCTAGTTGGTCACCTCCAGAGAAGCACTGGAAGCTTTCCCAAAGACTCTTGTTTGGAGTCTTCTGAATGCCTTTCTGTGGGCTTAGAGTGAAATCAAACATTCTTTTCTTGTTTCTTAATCATAGTCTTGTAGGTTAAGAATTCTTGCCCTGGCTGGTGTGGCTCAATGGACAGAGCTCCAGCCTGTGAACCAAAGGGTCGCCAGTTTCATTCCCAGTCAGGGCACGTGCCTGGATTGCAGCTCAGGTCCCCAGTGGGAATGCATGAGAGACAACCACACATTGACGTTTTTCTCCCTCTCCTCCATTTCCCTCTGTCTAAAAATAAATAAATAAATAAAAACCTTGAGGGGGAAATGTTTAAAAAAAATTCTACTGACTTGTTACCCTTGATGGACATTGTTTCTTTGAAATGTCGAAGGGGTATTTGGGAATTTTCCAAATGTGAAGATATTTTTTAACTTGAACATCTTGACTAAAATTCAGCATTTTTTTCCTCATTTATTTTGTAAATATATTTATGGGTCATTTTATTTGGCCTGTGACCATATGAGAGGTATAAATTAACTAGGCCATTACTCTGATGGTCTGTAACTTGTCAGGATATGTTTAAGCTTTGGTAGAATTTGTTTTTCTCTAGTTCTCCAGCGGACTTAATTGGACTTTGTCTTTAATCTTGCAGCACCCACAGATCCAGAAGAAATCTCAGTACATCAAGTACCTTTGTTGTGATGATGTGAGGACCCTGCACCAGTGGGTCAATGGTATCCGCATCGCAAAGGTAAGTTTTCTTTGGATTTGACAGCAAAATAATGAGGTATTTAATGATAAAGTTTTGATTGTCATGACAGTTTTTCTGGTTGTTTCGTGTTCATGATTTTGCCAGTGTCTAGTTTTCTCAGGCCTTATGTTTGAATGTCTTTTTTTCCTTGGTCATATGCATAAACTTTTAATGGTTGGTATTTATAGAATAATACTGCTGTTAAAGCTTGTGTAACACCACCCTGGCTGGTGTGGCTCAGTGGATTGGGTGCCAGCCCATGAACCAAGGGGTCACTGGTTTGATTCCCAGTCAGGGCATGTGCCTGGGTTGCAGACCAGGTCCCGAGTCTGGGGCGCACAAGAGGCAACCACACATTGATGTTTCTCTCCTACTGTTTCTCCATCCCTTCCCCTCTCCATAAAAATAAGTGAGTAGACTACTTTAAAAAAAAAAAAAAAAAAAGCTTGTGTAACATCGAAGTGATTTATTTTGGCTTTGGAGCACATATTATATCATTCTTATATAGCAGAGTCTGAAAATTAAGTTGTCTTGAGGTGGGGGGAAGGATGAATAAACAGTACAGGATTTTTAGGGCAGTGAAAAAATTCATAATCTGTATGATACTGTGATAATGGATATATGTCATTATTCATTTGTCCGTATCCATAAACTATATAACACCAAGAGTGAACCTAAGATAAACTATGAACTTAGAGTGATTACGATGTGTTAATGTAGGTTCATTGATTGTAACAACAAATATACCATTCTTGTGGGGGATGTTGGTAATGGAGGAGGCTATGCATGTTTAGAGGCTGGTAGTGTATGGGAAATCTTTGGGCCTTCCGCTCAATTTTGCTGTGAGCCTAAAACTACTCTATAAAAAAAGCAAGTCTTAAAAAATATATTTTAAAAGACATCTTAAAGATGATTATACAAAATACTTGAAGAAATATTTATGCCAAGAACTAGAAATAAAATTTATTATAGCTATAAAATCAAAGTTGCTTGAGGAATAACTGAAAAAAAAAATCTTTATATTGATAATGAACACAATCAAGTGTTAACTTCTTGCTGCCTTTGTAAAATGAGGAAAAATAAGGGTAGATTATAATTTACTGGTATTAAAATAGTTTTTGAAGGATTATGGGTATTAATTTTAATACAAAGTGTAAATCAGTAAACAAAATGTATCCCCCTTTCCCACCTCATCTCTCTGTGTCATGCCCTGTAAAGTTCAGATGTCATCATTTACTGTCTTCTGTTTAGTATGGGAAGCAGCTCTACATGAACTATCAAGAAGCCTTGAAGAGGACAGAGTCTGCATATGATTGGACTTCCTTATCTAGTTCCAGCATTAAATCAGGATCCAGTTCTTCCAGCATCCCAGGTAGTTTGGAATGCCCAACGCATTGTTTACTAGCAATATGAGGGTATCTCTGTAGACTGCTAGTAGACCTGGTTATTTCAGCATGATTCTTAAAAACCAGAACCCATACCTAATTTCTAAATTATATTCAGTAGGTATAGGAAGTTTTCTTTCTTTCTTTCTTTTTTTTTTTAATTGCTAGAGGGCACAATATCTTGGGCAATCTAGTAACATCCATCTCTCACAGAGTGATCGGATTAGGGCTAGCTTTAACATTTGAGCCTCCCCCAGATGCCAGGTATTAAACTAGGTGCTTCTGCATGATTACCTTACCTGACTTGGAGTCCAGTGAAGTAATCTTCCTGGTTCCCTCACTTTGAGTGTTAAATTACAGTGTCCGTGGCCATTCCCTCCTCCCTTAAAGACTTGTCCTCATGCCTTACCAGGAGGCTAGGCTAGCAGTGCAGCAGCCGCCTTGTGGTGCCTATACCTGAATCCCTAGGAAACACACTTCTCATTTGGAGGTCATCTAAGTACTGTTCATTGCTGGGAAGAGGATGTAATCGTCATATACATATATATATATATATGTATATATATGTGTATATATATATATATAAAAATTCATAAGTGAGAACTCTGTGGGATGGCCCGGAGCAGGAATATATGCAAAGATTGAATCTCACTGTAATGAAGATACAATTGGAAAAAAAAAAAGAAAAAGTCACTCCTTTATTGATGATTCATTAATTTTTTTCATTTGCTGTGAATTCTTCCAAGACAGGTTGTGAGGATACCAATAATATTAGTTACATGAACCTTTTATTATAATTATCAGGCTCTCATGGTGAAATACTTTAAAAGAATCAAGATTTCCTATTAGCCCCTAAGGCAAGGGAAGTTTTCTGGTGGAAAATGCAGGCTGTGCTTTATATGAAATGAGTAAAGGTAACTTGTTGCTGTTCTACAAAGCACCTAGTCTTCTGAAAAAGATCTCTCTGAACATACATATTCATACTGTCAGAACACTGACTTGTGTAATCCTGTGTTTGAAAATTTATTTTAAACAGAGTCTCAGTCAAATCACTCTAATCAGTCTGACAGTGGAGTATCTGACACTCAGCCAGCAGGACACATCCGTTCCCAAAGCATTGTGAGCTCCATTTTCTCTGAAGCCTGGAAACGAGGCACTCAGTTGGAAGAGTCCAGCAAGGTAACACACTTGTGATAATTGCTAGAGAAAAATCTGTGGTGTTCCGTGGGTTTAGCTTGTTGCTCTTTTATTCCTTTATTAGGAATCTTTCTTGGCTCTGTTTCTTTATTGTGTCTTTGATTTTTCCTCAGAAATGAAAATTTGTGAATGTGCTCTAGTGACTTAAGATCTCAAAAAGCAAGCAAGCAAACAAAAAACGCTGGCAATTTAATATTTTTTGTTTCTTTTTTTTTTAATTTTATTTTAATTTATTTTTTCAAATACATTTGTCTCTGCCAACCCCCCACCACTTTCCCTTGCCCCCTCCCTCCTTCCCTCCCTCAGCTCTTCCCCTTTGGTTTTGTCCATGAGTCCTTGCTATATGTTCCTTGACTTTCCCCTTCCCTTTAACTTTTTTTGTTGACTCAGATTTTTAAGAAATAACAGTTTTTTTTCCTTCCTCAATCAGTTTGGATACAGCAGCACCATTTAGTGCCAGTGACCTAATTTTATTTCAGGGAAGCTGCTAATGGCTGATTATTTTTTATTCATTATTAATTTAAATTATTCAGATTCATTCCCCTATCTTCTTTTAAGTTTTTTGGCATTTCTCTGCACATTGACGAATTTTCTTAAACTACAGTGTATGTGGAAGTTTACTTTCAAATTAATCCCCTTAAAATTTTGGATCCCTGAGCCTTGCTTAGTAGTAGCTCGTTCAGTGACACTGAGGAAGAGTATAATGATTGCAAGACTATTTAGAAACATGGAGAGATTCGTTAGACAGTTGGAAAACACCACATCAAACTGCCTCTGAAGTTCTGTGGGCGAAGGTCTGTCCTGGCTGTGTTCCCCTCTCAGCAGGCAAGAGCTCCCGCTGTCGCTGAGGAGCCAGTGGCACATCTGGCCTGACCATTCTGCTTTCACTCAGTAATCACTTTGATTTTCCCCCCCTTTGGTCTTAATCACTTATGCAAGTACATTCATCAATAGAAATTAAATGGATATTTTTCCTTACTTTATTACTTGATTTGCATCTCTAGTTAACTGGCCCTCAGGAGGGTGGATGAGGTGTTAGTAACCCAGTGTGGGGGTCTCTTCAAAGTAAATATTTGAGAATTGGTTCTTATAACCTAAATTCTCAAAAACAAACAAAAAAAAAAACCCAATAGTTTGCTTAACTCCCTTATCAGAGGCTGAAGCTTTAAGAAATAATTCTCTCCTTTTCCCCACTTACTTTGGGTGGAGCAGCCCCCTTATCTAGTACACAATTCAGACATCTGAAGGATTTTACCTTAGTAAATTTTTAAGGGTGTTACCTATGTGCATTTTAAATGAAAAGTTAAGGAAAACAAAGGTTTGAGTGCTCTGGTTAAGCAGAGTAGTCTCATTGCAGTTTCAGGAAGAGCGTGACCCTGCCATGCAGCAGTGACAATGTGTTTGAGTCTTGATCCCCGTGTGTTTCTTCTGTTACCTCAGTCTCAGGTGCCAGGTGAGAAGGCCAGCCCCGCTAAGGTCTGCGCCCCTGCAGCATCCAAGACAGGGTCAAGTTAAGGTCAGGGGCTGTTCTTTGGAAACACATTAACCTGGGTGACCCCTATAACCAAGTCTTGCAGACTAATGCTTTTATTTTGATGTGCAATTTTTAAAGAAACATTCTAGTGTCCTAATGAGCATTAGAGTTCAGCCCTGTAATGAGCCTTCTAGTTCACTAACCTAAGTTCTCCATGCTAATTAGATGTCATTTGTAATTGGAAACAAATGGTTTTATCTTGGATCCTCATACAATGTTCAAAAAGCCTAGAAGATGTACGCAAAGTTATTAAGCCAGGGGTTCTTCCTTTACTCTTTCCAAAAGTACTTGAACCACATTCATGCATGAGTAGTTCCATGAACTGTATGGCCCCAGGTGGTGATTTGGGCAGTAGCAGGAGGTGCTCAGTGGGCTGGCCAGCAGGCTGTTGGCAAACGCTGGCTCTGCTTTCTTGATGCATTTCCTTTACTCCAGACTCCCAGAGTTTCCTCTCGCTTTCTTTGGCTTTTTCTGTATGATATTGTTACGATCTTTTGCTGTAATGTTTATGAAGCATTTCTTTATGTATTTTCCAGTAAAACAAATGTAAAGAATGCCCAAGAATGCCCCCTCTTTACCTGCATTGCTGGACTTCTGTGCATGTTGGATGCAAGTGTCTCTCACATGAACACGAGTGTGTGTGTCAAGTTCATTGATGCCTGTGTGACTGTGCACGACTGCTGAACACTCTCATACTCTCACGTGTCAGCTCACTAGCATCAAAAAGCCATCCTCATTCCTCAGGAGGCCCTCCACCAGCTCTCCTACACCCAGTTATGGCGTCTGCTTGAGGCAGATGAGTCATGGACTGAAAGGTGAACTCGAGCCACCACATCTTCCCTTGCCAGAGTCCGGTGGGGCCCGGTGCTCAGAGGCCATCCCACAGAGGGCTCCCATGTGGGACAGCCCGTCACCATTCAGACAGCTTTTGCAACAGGAAACTGTCCCTAGGTTATTAGGCAGTCCAGCTATTTGAAAATACTGTTGGATAAACAGATTTCCCCTGTGCCTGTGTTGCCCAGGGAGTCCCATTTTAGCTTCTCCGCCATTGTCCATCTTTATGGTCACCAGCTCCTGCACCTTTCCATGCATGTCCCTGAGTCCTTGCTTTTTACCTTTACCCACTCAAAGCTTACCTCTGTAACTGGTTTTGTTGTGTTTTCTCTCTCACCCCCAACCCCTTTATACTCCTTTTAGGCCAGAATGGAGTCTATGAATCGATCCTACACTTCACTTATGCCCCCTTTATCCCCACAACCTAAACTAGTCAACCCCTATACTGCCTCCCAGCCTTTGCCTCCCTTACCGCCCCCACCCCCTCCCCCTCCTCCTCCACCCCCACCTCCGCCCCCACCGCCCCCACCTCTGCCCAGCCAGTCTGCACCTTCTGGGGGATCAGCAGCCACCATGTTTGTCAAGTACAGCACAATAACCAGGCTGCAGAATGCTGCTCAGCACTCAGGACCCCTGTTTAAGCCTCCGCCACCCTCAGTGATGCAGCCTATGTCCACGACCTCACAGCCAGCAAAGCCTCAGGTCCCTGTGCCCCCCAATGGAGTTGTGCCCCCACCCCCTCCGCCACCCCCAGCCCCCACCCCGGGCTCAGCTATGGCCCAACTAAAACCTGCACCTTGCACCCAGTCCCTTCCACAGTTCAGCTCTCCCCCCCCTCCACTGAAGATACATCATGTTCAGCATGTTACTCAAGCAGCTCCTCCAACACCCCCCCCACCTCCTCCTGTCCCTCCCCAAGCCCCTCCCAAACCTCTTGTGACCATGCCACCAACCAGCACCAAGACTGTGCCCCCCGTTGGTGGGACACAGGCTGTGCCACCTACACCTATTCCTCCAGTCCCCCCAGCAAAAAAACAACCGGCTTTTCCTCACATTCCTCCCTCTCCCGCTGCTCCTCCTGGTCCTGTCCCCCCACCCACGTTACCCAAGCATCAGAGTTTCAGCGTAAAACCACCTCCCTCTCCACTGTCCCCAGTGCCCTCTGTAGTGAAGCAGATAGCCAGCCAGTTCCCTCCGCCTCCAACCCCTCCTCCCGTGGAGCCGCAGCCCTTAAAGCCAGTCCCAGCAAATGCAGCCCCACAGTCCCCACCTGCTGTGAAAGCAAAACCCAAGTGGCAGCCCAGCTCCATCCCTGTCCCTTCTCCAGATTTCCCTCCTCCTCCTCCTGAAAGCAGCCTGGTGTTTCCTCCTCCTCCTCCGCCGCCGCCGCCGCCGCCGCCACCGCCGCCACCACCACCACCACCACCACCTGTCCCAGCCCCGCCACCACTGCCATCTACACCCACAGCTTCTACCGCTGACAAAAGTGGATCTCCAGGCAAAAAGACCAGTAAGATGTCCAGCCCTGGGGGAAAGAAACCACCCCCGACCCCACAGCGAAACTCCAGCATCAAGTCCAGCAGTTGTGCAGAGCACGCTGAGCCTAAGAGACCCTCAGTGGACAGTCTAGTCAGCAAGTTCGCGTCGCCAGCAGAACCCTCTGGGTCTCCAAGCAAGGAGACCCCACCACCTCCTGCTGCGCCTCCCAAACCTGGAAAACTAAATCTCTCTGGAGTTAACCTTCCTGGAGTCCTCCAACAGGGGGCAGTGGCAGCAAAAGCATCTGTCTTGAGTGGGCGTGGCAAGGACTCCGCGGTAGAATTTCCCTCTCCTCCATCAGACTCCGACTTTCCACCCCCTCCACCTGAAACAGAGCTTCCTCTGCCCCCCATAGAGATCCCAGCAGCGTTCTTGGGAAACATTTCTCCGAAAGTGGCAGTAGTTAATCCTCAGCCCCAGCAGTGGTCCAAAGCGTCCGGGAAGAAGGCCCCTCCGCCCACACGACCCAAAAGGAATGACAGCACCCGCCTCACTCAAGCGGAGATCTCTGAGCAGCCAGCAGCGCCCACAGTTGTGCCACAAGTGCCCACCTCTCCCAAATCCAGCCTTAGTGTCCAGCCTGGATTCCTGGCGGACCTTAACAGGACCCTGCAACGGAAGTCCATCACCCGGCATGGCTCGCTCTCTTCCCGCATGTCCAGAGCAGAACCCACAGCCACCATGGATGACATGGCGTTGCCCCCGCCACCCCCTGAACTGCTGTCTGATCAACAGAAAGCTAGTTACGGAGGCAGTCATATATCAGGCTATGCGACGCTGCGGAGAGGCCCTCCTCCCGCTCCCCCCAAAAGAGACCAGAATACCAAGCTTTCAAGAGACTGGTAGCTTCCATAGGACTTTATTTTCCTAGTGTCTGTAATCGGTTCTACAATCAGCTCACCTGACCATCCCTGAATTCAGGTGTTCAGAGCCTTCTGGTATGTTATTCAGGTAGTGTCCAGCTCTCTCTGTGTGTGTGTGTGTGTGTGTGTGTGTGTGTGTGTGTACATACCTATGTGTGTATATGTATATATATAGCTTGGAGTGATTTATTCCTTTTCTCTCTTAATTTGAAAATGGATTTTGTGTATTTGGAGCGGAAGAGGCATAGAAGGGGATGTGTGTCCTGTCCCTTATGATACCTATTACCTGTCATGTGGATTGGACCAAAAAAAGTTCTGATGACTTTAGATGTATTTTATGTCTCCACGTGCAGCCTATCTGTGCATGTTGTGTATTATATATTAAGGAATAGATGTGTAATGTGCTGTTTCTCAGTTTGAGAGGACAACCAGAATGTTTGGTGTTATCTATAGGGCTTTTGTGTTTGTTTTATCCCCAGTTGGCTTAAGTCAGAGCTGTTTGACATTTCATTAACTATACATAAAGGAGCACTTTAATCAGGAACGTCTTTCAGCTTCACAGAATGGGTGAATAATGCGGTATGGGGAAATTTCAGACACTATCTGTATGCAGTTTTGCGTATGAAGTAAATACATGGTGTAACTAAACCATTCTAGTTGCAGTACTTACTGCTGCAGTGATTCACCTGAATCTAGGATGTGTTCTGTCAAAGGTAAGCTCTTTGCCTAAAATAATGTGGATAATTTAGTACTATGATCTTGGATATTTCTTTTAATACTGTTGGAATCCTTCCATGGGCTTTGTGAAGCTTCGCCAACCTTGGCTTCACGATCCTTGCTATAACTTACTCTAAGTGAGTATCCGACACAGTATCCTGGAATGTTTAGCCCCAGTATGTCTTTGGGTCACCAGTTATTTTTTGTGTGCTCTAGGTAGATGTTGATCTTAGGTTATCTGTAGACAGTCGCTATATCAAATATACCCATCCTGTATCTAATACGGTCCATCATTATGTAAAACAAAAATCACCTTCTGAAATGTCTTTGTGTCTTGATCTCTAGAAGGTTGGGGTGGTTACAAAAAGGAACAAAATGGCCCCTGTGCAGGTATCATTAATCGTGTTGTACATGGATTATAACGTGTAATACGAATAACTCCTTTAAGTGTGGGACTGTCACGGAGGGGGAAAATAAGTGAGGTTTTGTACTGCAGCATGCTAGGATCCTTGCCTGTTGCAGCCTGGTTGCAAAGATCTGTCCAGGTTACCTTGTGGTCTGTGGGAGTAATGTAGTCCAAGTACAGATAGTGACATATTATGCATGTGCAATTTGGCATCACATGAAATGATCACTAGTAACAGAATATGCTTTATGCTGCAATTCACGCTTTTTTTCCCCCCTGTGAATTTTCCTTTGTATCTGATGATAAACTGACCATTAGGAATAAAATGCAATCTCAGAGCTGCTCTTAAAAGAAAACTAGCCATCCCAGGAATGATGAATGAGCACATCTTGCAATGAAGCCTCTGCGTCTTGTGACTAAGGATTACCAAGGGCAAGCTGCAGAAATCTTTGATGCTGTCTCCTAAGGGAAAAATGTGCTAGTGCGGTGGGGCAGATAGAAGTAATTCAAGACAGTGAGAGATGTGAGGTGTACCCAAGAAACCCTTATAACCCACCCTCCCACAGTGTTGCTCGGAGAGAAGGGGTGGCACTTCTTTGCTGCCACATCTGCAGGATGTTCAGTATAGTCATGTGGTTATAGAGCAATAAGAATATATATGCCATAGTGCATTTTTGTAAAGTCATTCTTTAGAAAGATTCTTTTTGGATCCTCTCAGTTGATCACGAGGACTGTGCATTGTTATGCTTATGAGGTGGCCTTTAACACATCTACATTGTTAATTTAAGCATGCACTGCCGTTTGGGTACAGGTTGCCAAGCTCCACGTGAATCATGAGTGAAGTGATACTGCATAGTCTCTGCCTGCAGTTTTATACTCTTAAGAATCACCCTTACTTGTGAGGCGAAGAGTTGAGAATACGAATCCAGTGATATATTCGTCGCTAGGGTTTTTTGTTGTGATGGTGGTCTTTTTTTTATATGAAGGCAGACTTCAACTTTAAATCACCTCCTCTCAACCTTCATTCACCCATGATTTGAATCCTAAGACAGCCTGTTTTTTCAGTATAGGCTTTCCTCGGCCTTCTGGCTGTTGGTCCTGATGACAGCCACCCTGGACTGGCGCTTCCAAAGCAGCGGGCATCCTTTAGAGCAACACTAGGTGCGCCAAGAAGAGAGCTGGGTTAAAGACAGAACTCTCATTTTTACCCCAATCCGTTGGCTTGTCTGACAACAGGTTTACCTTTCTCCAAAGATGGAAAAAGGCTGTTTTCAACATACTCTAATTTTGTGTGTGAAACAACTGAATAAAAATATATATATATATTTAGATTATACTTCCAGTGTTTAACTCCCTAGAGAGTTTTTTTAATTTGGGTTTTTGTTGGGATGTAGCTTTGTGGGGTTTTCTGTTTTTCTTTTGAGACTACTCTTGTTATTTTTTAACGGTTCCTTTCCCTGGTGTGTTCATGGTAAACACCGACTGCCAGGTGACACTAGCTCTGTGCCTTCTTCTACCGCCTTCTGCTCAACAGCTGTAATTCAGCAGAGCGTCTTCGAGTCTAAGGAAACCTGGACAGGTGACTTGGCTGTACTGAAAAATGAACAGCACGGAGGAATGCATCCCGCTGTTGAGGGCAGTGCAGACGGGCCTCACAGAGCTAGTGGCACCCTTCACTCGACCACAGAGGATTTCTAAATTGGGGAACGCTGTGCCTCAAGTTTTGGCACTAACTGGGAAGGTCAGCAACAACTATATCAGGTTTATAGGTATATATATAATAAATATAGGCTATTCTCTATTGAAATTTTAACAGCTTTGCTTTTACTACTTGAATAAATGCCCCCCCCCCACCTTAGTTATTGTAATTCTCATTTGGGGGAAAAGTTAACTATTCTTAAGGTTTTTACATTAAATTTTTAAAATTTGAGACTTTTTAAAATGAGAAAGATTGTTGACTCCTAAAAGTTATGGGACACCGTTTTCATCAGAAGAGTTCATACAAAGTAAAGCAGACATGGCGTTCTCCAGTCCTCTAAAATCAAGGTGCTTCTGGCCACTGATGGCATCTTCTGCTAAGGGCTGTGAACTCTCTTAGAAGTCCCCTCTTCCTGTTAAGTTTACTTGCCACTGAAAACAATGCTGAGTTTCTCCAGAAAGCTTAAATTAGTAGTGACAACTCTGAGATCAAGGTTAATAGGAGCTGTACATCCAGTTACCAGTTTCAGAAGCTGCTATTCTGGGAAAATACAGTTGTTAATAAGCTTGTGTGAAGAATGTAAAGTTGTAAATTAGCCTGAGAAAACTTTCAGGTAATGATGTGGATTGGTTTGATTTGACTATCAGGTCACCAACAGAACCTTTTGTCACCTTTTTTCCCCTCTACTAAAAGCAATTTTATGTTACTACAAACACAAGGTAGTTTTAAACAAGTAAAAACCATTTTCCTAATTTTATACTAAATTTTTTTTAATATGCCTGCAGGGCTAACAAATTATAACTGATGTAATCTCATATTTTATTCAAATTTAGACTAATTAAACCTAAATGACCCTGACTTTAAATGAAATAGAAATAATTTGAATTTATACACCTGGTAAGAGGAAATTCTCTTTACTAAAAATCACTTTAGGTTGCAAGTACCTTTGAGTTTTGTTTTATACACTTTATATCATTTGTATTAAAGCAGGATGTCCCTAAAATCCTGCAGGAATATGAGACTACTCATAAAGTGAAGATGTAATCCACATAGAGATCCAAGTAGAAGAGAATTAAGTACCCCACTATCTTTTAAGATTTATTAATTTATTTTCCTTTAAAAATCAGAAGAAAATTTCTACACTTTACAAGTCTATCCCTCAAACTAAACAAGTGCTCTGTTATCTGACATATAGCTGTAAAATAAACTTGCTAAATAAAAATAAGCAAAAAATATACTTGATAAACAATTGAAGGGAAAAATCTCCCGTTGGTTTGCTCTTTGCTTGTTGAATAAACCATTTTGAAGAGAAAATAGTATCGGCTATAATCCCCAGTGCCTTGAACTCTTGGAGGAAGAGCATAAAAAAAATAAGCAAACTTTGAGGTGCTAATGAAAGAGAAGGAAGGTGAGTATTTCTAGTTTACGCAAAAATAGAAAAAGTGACTGTCTCTCAAGAGATGGCTTCATCTACCTATACATGGGGACGGGCTGCTTTCTACCAAAGACATTGAGAGCAAGTTGAGTCAGGGTAACAGTGAACACTACCATAGTTAAAAGATGGCGAAGTTCAGAAGTGAGTATGCTGGTCATAGATGGCTGTTGACACCAAGCCCATAAAAGCTGAAGCCTCAACCTCCTCATAGGCAGAATGTACTTGCAGCACTTAAAGGAAAAAAAATCTTTGCATTTTGGGAACTGCCCGTTGTTTGTTAAATGTATTGTAACCTAATACCAAAAACTGCCATTTTCCATGATTGCTGTCTCCTATATTTTTTCTCTACTTGTAAATAGTCTCTACTAGAAAATAAGCATTAACTGGAATGTTTCAAATGATTTTGCTTAATTTTATTATCAGCCACTAGTGAACTTTTATAGAAATGTACATGTAAAACAAAAATATCATTAGCTTGTGCTAAAAATGGTGTAAAAACGTTTACTATTTTAAAGGAAAATTGCACATTATATTTTAACTGGGATTGCTCCTTCTCTTCCCATTTCTTCAAAAAATTGAGTCAATGCTCACACTGACATGTAGGCTGTGAGAGCTTTGCTAGATAAGTGAATAGATAACAATGTAGGAATATACTTTTTTAAAGCATGAAAAAGAAAGCAAAATGAACTGCATTATAAAGTACCCAATAGAGGACACTATCTAAACGATTATGCACAGCTCGGTAAAGATGAAGTTACAATTTTTCTTTCAGCTTTGTTGCTATTATTTTCTTCTGCTTAAATGTACGCTCCCATTTCATTATGTGCCTTGCTCCCTGATTGTGCAAACCTATATATATAGAGAGATAGATATATATGAGAGAGATCTATTCAGTACTACTGACGATGTTTTTGTTCTTCTGCTGGATTAAGTTATTTTACAAGTTATTCTTGCCAGTTACTGTCAGTGAACTATTGTAATGGCTTAGGACAGTAGTTATACAGTCAGTGTAAATTTGTTTCTCAGTTACATGTTTTCACTATGTCAGCTTACCCACTCCTTAATAAAAAAGAATAGATTTCATTTACATGTGGGGGTTTTACTTGACTGTTTGTGGATCGGCACCATTAAGAACCTGGTTTTGCTATGTATGCTGGGGCATCCAAAAATAGGTAAGCTCTTTTTTTATTAAGAGAATTACATGTGTTTGGGGGGAAGTGATTATTTTCTATCCCTAATTTTGCAAGTAAATCTAATTATTTAGAACAGCTGTCTGGAAAAAAATTTCACAGACATGAAAATTGTCTTAAGGCTCAACATTTTAAATGTTTGAAATTTTTAAGACAATAAAAAGGAGCTGCCTAGTTTACAGCAACAGGGAAAGATTCTCTTCCACGTTTAAACTTACTACCTTAGAGAGAAAAGAAGTTACTTACATAAATATATTCACAAGACACTTAGAAACACTTCGTGGGATTTTATTTAGGTCAAGGTCTTAGTACACAGCAACAATTCCAAGTACAATTTCAAAACTAAAAAGTGAATTCTCCCCGACTCATGGAGGTGGTTTAATGGCACACACAAGAAACATTACTGGCAATAGACTGCTCCCTCGCATTTTCTTGCACGGTTTTTGCTCAGAACCCCAATCCTCCCACCTGGGAGCTAAAAGTACAACTGGCCAGATAACATTTACGTTCTCTGTAAACCACTTTGTTAAGGAGAAAGATGCATGGACACAAACTATGATAAAAATTGCTTTTTCATAGACTTCTGAGGTTGCAAAAGATGTTTCCATTTTAATGTGAAAATAAGCTTTTTGGTTTTTGACTTTTTGGGTGTTTTTTTTTTAAACAAGATAATTAGCAAGGATTTTTTTTTTTTTTATACAAGTTAGGTTCTGTCATTTCATTTGTCAGGGTTGGGGTTTTTTTTTTTTTAAAGAATTATGATTCCCAACAAGAAATAGGAACAAAGATCAGCATAAAGTAAACATATGGTAGTAAGCACAATGCCCCTATGTAATAAAAGAACTGCTTTATAAGGCTCTCTTTAAATAAGGCCGTTTGCTGTGCTCCTACCAGTGCTGAAAAGATGTTTTTGTTACATACACCTAATGGAAAAGAACATTTGCATTGAGTGTAGTTTTGGAATGGTTAAAATGAAGATTTCCCTAATTCAGGTTGCACTTAGTATACTCCTTTAAACAAGTTTGAATACTCTGGTGGTATTTATCAAAACATAGCAAGCATATCTTTTCAAGTATCTTCCTGAAGACATCAAGTAGAACTCAATTTTTAAAGAAACATACAGCACATTTAATTAAGACAGTTGTAGAAAGTACCAAGAGGCACGAAGTTGTGAGCTTTACCATTATTTATTAGCTGTTACCTAAAATAAAACATCTAACCTCATCAGTAAAGTGAAATTGAAATCTCATCTAGCAATAAAATTCTATGATTCTAAGTAAATCATGTGAGGGAAATCACCACCGTAACACAACTCAAGAGTTCTGGCCAAAGCAGCTGGGAAGTGATTCAGATCCCCATTCTTTCAGAGACTTGGCAGTCACCTATCATTTCCTCCATCAAATTCTTTTCAACAGGAAAGGTGGCCTTGCTCTCCACTGAGCAGAAATGATAATAAAAATGAACAGTTCCTAATGCAGAAAGGTCACCTACTACAAGAAAATGAACACAAGGATAAAAGCAAACTACCATCACTTTGATGCCTCTCAAACAGAAAACTCAAGTAAATCATTTTCAATCAACCTAAGACTGCCAAGGAGCAGCTACATTACAGAAATCACTGAAAATATAGTTGTGTAATAAACAGACGCGGGAGGGGGAAAGGAGGGATAAAACATCTCACCCAGTGAGTTCGAGGAACATGAAAGTAGCAGACGGTTGCCCACCCTAAGGTGCCCCTGAGGGAGATAGAAAGCCAACAGCCAAAAGATGGAAAATACTGAGCAAAAAAAGTTAGCTTTTCAGCACAGCAGGCTGGGTCTCTCAGGTCTAGAGTTTGACATGTGGACACTGTTTGAGAGTTACTGCCTTGGCCATAAGGTCAATGACAACAAATATATTTTCATTCATACCACCATGGCCTTTCAAACAATAATACCAAAAAAAAAAAAAAAAGAACTCTTAAGTCACTTTTTTTTTTTTAAGGAAATAGGGAGTGTCAAAAAGACATTTCAGAAGGAAAAAATTCCCTCTCCCATTAGATTCTCTATCTTGACAATATGGTTGCTTATTGGTCAGCACATTTTAGACTTGCATCATCTTCACTACAATATTATGTAGCATGTAAGATTTCTACATTCATTTGGAATTCCTACTGCCCACCGTTTCATCTGATTTTTAAAAAGATAAATGGGGAAACTTACACTAAAACAAGAAATACTACCCTCACAGACTATTAGTAGCATGCAATCTATGAAATAATTACATACATTAAAAGTCTCCAATTATTGTAGGCTTGGCCCATCATTTCAGAGTATCCTTCCAAGACAATATATAGAATTCAAAACTACAAAAATTTTAAAGTATGTGGAAAATCCAACATGTATTTAAGAAAAAAAAAAAATCACACATTAGTACTAAATAATAGGGGAAAAAATGAGCTGACCCATGGATCCCCTGCTGCAGGTTTTCAGTATGAAGGACTTCACCAGTGTCTTCCACACTCCCCAACCCAGTGGGTCCACTAGGCAGGCGGACCACCACCAACTCCTGCTGTACAGTTGTCTGCTTGTCGGTGTGAGCTGTGGAACCATGTGCTGGATTTCAAAATACCCTCTGCCTTATTAAATCCACTAAGCTCTCTAAGCAAAAGGTATTTAAATAAATAATTGGAACATCTAATTTTAAAAATTTTCCTCTTTACTCCAACAATAAGAATTATTTAACCTATCCTAGTATGGGCTAGATTAGGTCCATAAAGAGGCTGAAAGCTGAGGACACTCAGGGCCATTACTTTAAAGGAAAACGGAATAATGGATGTGGAGATGACGCAACAAAAGTACAAAAGCAAAGGGGAAGGGTTGAAGAGAGCTAAAGGCAAAATAACTGACTTGTATGTGTGTGTTGGGGGCGGGGTAGGGGCTGTAACTTAACAACAAAGTCTTGATAAGGAAGCTCTGTATCTGGGTCTCAAATAAATGGTGATGTTTTGTGCCCACATACACAAGTGGAATATTAACTTCTGCCTACACCATCTGAATTCCCTCACACTACTGCACATGTTCATTTTCAAGTTCCTCTACACTATCTCATGTTCAAGGCCTGCATCTGATTTACAGTTGACCCTTGAACAACACAGGAGTTAGGGGCACTGAGACCTGTGCAACTGAAAATTCACCTATAACTTAACTCTCCCAAACTTAACTATAGTCAGTCCTCTATATCCACGGGGGACTGGTCCAGAACCAACACCTCCCCTCCCCCCACAGATAATCAAAATCCTTGGATGCTGAAGTCCCTTATACAAAATGGCATAAAAACGCACACAGTTGGTCCTCCACATTTGTGGGTTTCCAACTGCAAATTGAAAATACTGTTTTTAATTGTACCTGGTTTAATCTGCAGATGCAAAACCCAGGAGTATGGAGGGACTGTGTATTGATAAACAAATCCTGTGTACATGGACCTGTGCATTTCAGACCTGTGGTGTGGAAGGTCAACTGTATGGGCAGCTATTGCCTCTCCCCTTTGACCCAGAAGAGGAAAGTCACTTGGCAAAGCTCTCTTCAGGCCAAGTCACTGGGACAGTGCTGGGCCTGATCATGAGCTAGTTCATCGCCAAGTATTCACCTGCTGAGCAGCAAAGAAAGTCCTCCTGGATTTTTTTCAGTAATTCTTATACTGATCATAGAAATGATTAAAGCCATCAGAATTACCATCTCCACTGAACTTGAAGCTATAATGGGGCAAATTAAAAAGTACTGCTTCTTTCAAAGTTCTATCAGTTTTTAATCTACGTAATTGGATAAGTATTTGGCCTTATCCCACTAGTCTTAGTCTGAGAAAGAAGGTTCAAATTCTTAGCAAGGGAAGCTACTTCCAAAGCCAACCACAAAATCAGGAAAGTACCTTTTTCTAGAGTTAAGTGAGTAAACAACTCAGCAGCAGCTAACACTGGCCATTAATAACATTCCAAGATTACAGTAGCAAGCCTTTTATACCCAGTGACTATAAAGAAACTTGAAAATAACTATTTTCCCAAAAACAATGTTTTTCTAAATAGTGAAAGTAAAGAAATAGTTGGTCTGACTTCCAAAATCCTACTCAAACCAGTGCCTCAGGCGAGGTCTTAGGATGCCCACTGGGCAGCACATTTCTACAGTTCAACCTCTCCAGAATCTTAACCTTCATGTCTAGCTTCGCACGCCTACTTCAGCACATAAACCAGGCTTCCAAGCTTCACTCATCCGGGTGCACTGGCCATTAGCGGCAATGCAGTCTCATGCAGCAGCAGCACATTAACATCAAACTGGCATTCAACCACCCTCAGAATGTTTGGAGACTCATTTCATCATAATCTACAAACTGAGAAACATGGAGGGATGCAAATCAGTTCAGCATTAACTCTGGTGCACCCAGGTTCTGAGAGAATGCAGAATTTACAGTGTTAAAGAGGAAATGAGCCATCTGAAACAACTAAAAATGGTTAAGTATGGTATTCAAATATTGGTTCCCTCTTCATAAAAGTGGAAGAGTATGGGGGACGCAGTAGCCACCAGGCTAACCCTTTTAGCACAGGCACTGAAGGACATCCAATGCAATGCCGGATTCTGCAGGAGGAGAAATCCCACAGGTGTACAGTATTCCTGAGAAGGATCCCAGATTTTTGTTCTGAATCAGTCTTAACCTGATTTGTTTTATATAGTTTTGCTGTTATACCATCCACATATTCAGAACTGGTCACTTTATTTCAATCTAGACAGCTCAGCATAGTACAAATGATGACAGAAAAATCCATTTGTTCACACTCAGTTTGCTTTTTTGTTTTAATACTGGGGGATAAACTGAAAAAAAAAGAAAACCACATAAGTAGTTTTTATCATTTGTATCCTTCATTCACTTCACTGGAGGGGAATCCCAGGGCCTTGTGATAATCTGGGAAGTCCTGACTATTCCTGGGAGGGAAACAGCCCTGCCGAGCTTTATTCAGAATAATGCATGATGGACTCCACATAGTTCCCAGGAAAGAGCCCAGTCACTCCATTCATAACTCCCTCATACCAACCGTCGTCGTTCTTCTTGATGACATAAATAATGGCTCCCTCCTGAAAAGACAGCTCATCTTCCTTGTCTTTTGTATAATCATAAATTGCCACAACTAGAGGGGAAAAAAAATAGGATGTGAAAAAGAATAACATTCCTGCAAAGACACAACCAAATGAATATCCATCCTTTCCCAACTTCTGTAGCAGTTTGAACACAGTGACTTTCTAAACACAGACTGAAAAAACCTTTCCCCCCCTAATACCCACTCCTCTATAACAAGATTCTATCCTCTAAGGGAGGTTAGGTTCCAAACAATATATATGGCAAAAAAGTTACAATCAAATTACCCTTCAACAGCCTATGGGAAAATACCTCACTGAAGAGAGAGAGAGAGACAATCCCAGAACTGGAAAAGATGACTTGTTCAATTGAGCTTGCATTGAAGCATTATACTGTGTAAGAACACACGTCTTTACATTAGAATTATACTAGTGCATTGAGATACACTATGAGAAGCAAGTGAGAAAATGAGAAGGACTAAAGAATGGCAAGCAGATCTATGTCTCCCTGCTTTCTGGAGCCCACGCCTAGTCCCTGCGTAGGACAGTAGTTGAATTCCCACAAGTTGTTTTTCTTTTTTTAAGTATTCTTTCCTTAAAAAAAAAAAAAAAAAAAATTTATTTACTTTTTTAAAGAGAGCGGAAGGTGGGGGAGAGAGAAACATCAATGAGTTGCCTCTCCCATGCCCCCATCTGCAGACCTGGCCCACAACCCAGGCTTGTGCCTTGACAGGGAATCAAACTGGTGACCTTTTGGTTCTGAGGGCAGCGCTCAACCCACTGAGCCACACCAGCCGGGACTGAATTCCCACGGGTTTTATGTGCAAATGAGGGGAGTCCACTGTACAGTCTTTCGAAACACATGCTGTATTACGCTACCAATTTAACATATCTCCATAACAGACTAAAAGTGTTATGAAAACCAAGATGCCTATAAGCTCTCCTGAGATTTTTTTTGCTTAAATAATTTGGTACTGGGGCCTTTCAAAGATACCTAGAACAATCTCTGGTTCCTAAGTACACCTACCTTAACAGTTTAGCTAACTTGGGATAGTCTGTAACTTGCTCAAATCCACTTGAAAATTTATCTTTTTTTTATAAAAAGAGCTTACGTATTTTTTTTTATCATTCAGAATTTCACTCCATAGCAATCTCCAACTATCCATCATTCTGAAGCATATTCTGACTTTGTTAGTTTCTCATGCAGCAGCAGCACATTAATTCTCATATAAATATGAAACAGAAACTACAGTAGGAATTTCTTGATACAGTGCAACTTGCCCCAGTTAGTGTTTCTGGTCTGCGTTAGTAAAATTAAATGGCTTTATTAAACTAAATATTACTGTTATAGCAACCTGTTAATACTTCAGAGGAGCCTAGGAAGAGTGTAATGTGTATTTCTCAAAATATACAACCAAACCCCTAAACATAAATATATAACTCAATGACATACAAGTTCAACTATAAATGTAAAAGAAAACAAGGTATTTACTATTTATAGTCAACCTAGTATTTTTTAGCATCTTTTTTAGTTAACATTCTCGATGCTTACAGAAACACAAACCCATTGCAAAGTGGTTCACAAGGGAATATCCCCAAGTTCTGTTATTCTACCCGCGGAGCCCTCCAATCCAGCACTTCCCCACCATCACGCACTCTCCCAAGCCAGTGCCGCGGTCTTTAAACTGGAATATACACCTACCACTGGGGGATTGGAAGATTTTCCATGCAGTATGAGTGACAGGTAATTTGGGGGAGACGACTCCTAGAGTCTCAAATTTTGTAAATACTGCTTCCAAAAACTGATCTGCTTGAGATGATACCTTTGGTCAGGCATCGGTCATAAAAGTTCTCCTTTCCTGTTTATCATTCTCCTACTTGACAAAAGTACAGTGGTGCCCTGTCCTAAAATACAAGTCACCTCTGGGAGCCAAAGACACAATTCAAAATATTGATGTGGTATTTTGCAAGTTAGGTGGCTCCATTCTATTGCTTTTAACAAAAATGGAGCCTTTAATGGAGATACCATAAAACATTTTTAAAGACAACATTATTTGACTTTTGGCAAGTAACTCTGAAGGAGTTAAAAGAACTGAGTGACGGTGCCACGTGAAAACCACTCCCATTTGCACCTGCCCAGGAACGAACAAGGTTTGGTTTTCAGCCGCCTTGGCTGAGGCCCGTCATCTCTTCCTCAGAAAGGTGTCCAACCTGTCTTCCCAACTCCTATTTCCCTTTCTAATGTACTATACACTATTATCAGGTAACTTTTGAAAAGTTAGAATGTAAGTACATAAGAACTTATCACTGACCTGCTTTAAAATCTGCCACAATTTTCTACCATCAGATTTTTAAAAAAGGAAAAAGATCAAAATATCTCAGCATGGTATTCAAGGCCGACCATCACTAATTACAACTTCCAACACTCACACCCCAGCGACTCTCCCTACAGCAACTCCGCCGCTGCCCCACCCACCAGGGTCTGCTTGCAGATGGCGCCCCTCACTGGGCCCCAAAAGGCCCCTTCATTCAGAGGAAGCCCCCCGCTGGAATGGCCCTTACTAGCTCTCTTCTCTGCCTGAGAAACTCCACACATCACTCAAGGCACATCACAAATGCCATGTCCTCTGCAAAGCTTTCTGGAATCCCCAGATAGAATTAATGCAACTATTCTTTTTTTTTCTTCCTTTTTTTTTTTTTTTTGACAATCATTAATGGAGCATTCATGTCAATTTTTAGAAATACAAAGATGAACAAGACAGACTATCATAGTCTTGTGAGGACAGAACTGTGTTAACTGTGTTATCTGATATACTACCATACATTGTTGATATTTCTACCAAGAAGATAATGTCACTGAGCTGAAAGAACGCAAGAACAGATGGCTTGATAGAAGAACTTAACACTAGTAAACTGTGTGGCCAAGACGCAGTCAATCCCACGTCTGCCAGCACTCCAGCTTCAGACAGTGGTTAATAATTTGGGCTCTGGAGTTAGGTTGCCTAGTTCAAATCACAGCTCTACCAGTCATTAGTTCACAGGACGTAACTTTCCTAAACAACTTTTTACTCAACGTAATAGTGCTAACATCTCAAAGCACTGTTCTATGAAATGAGGCAATGCACAGACAATACACAGTCCAGGGCCTTGTATATGGTAAACAGTCCATATAAATTAGCTTCTCTCATTATCATTAATAACTATTATTATATACTGTCTCTTCTTTAACACTAACATTTTCTGTTACATTCTGTAACAAATTATTTTTGCCCTGGCGGGTGTGGCTCAGTGGGTTGGACACTGGTTAGATTCTCAGCCAGGGCATATGCCTGAGTTGCAGGCCGGGTCCCCAGTCGTGGGGCGCAAGAGGCAACCACACATTTCTATCCCTCTCTTTCTCCCTTCCTTCCCCTCTCTCTAATAAATAGGTGAAATCTTTTAAAAAACAAAAACCAAAAAATTATTTTGAACCTCATTTGCTCATTTGTAAAATGGGAAAAATAACTGTCTTACACATGTAATAAGTCTTCTATTATGCCAGGCACATCATGAACACATGAAAATATGTATTCTACCTAAGTTACATCAAGATACTTATATAACATTATCTTTTCTTGGCTAGTGTGGGCAGTAATCAATGGTTAAGATAAACCTTCTCCTATGGCAGTAGTTCTAAACCTTGGCATTATCTGGGGAACTCTTAAAAATTCTGATGCAATCCCATATTCACAGATTCTGATTTACTAGGCTTGGAGGTACAGACACATTAAACACTCTCTAGGTAACTCTGATGTGCAGGCAGGATTAAGAACCAAGCCCTAAAGTCAGCCCTGGCTGGAGTGGCTCAGTGGGTTGAGCGCCGGCCTGCAAACCAAAGGTTCGCCATTTCAATTCTCAGTCACGACACATGCCTGGGTTTCAGCACCAGGTCCCCAGTTGGGGGCGTGCAAGAGGCAACAGATCCATGTATGTCTCGCACACTGACGTTTCTGTCCCTCTCTTTCTCCCTCCCCTTTCTCTAAAAATAAATAAAATAAAATAAAGAACCAAGTCATAAGGTCTAAGATAGCAAAATGAGTCATTAGGCAACAGCCTTTACGTTTACACACACATGCAAACAAAAAACACAATCATAAGCTGAACATAGTTGGTTATGTTTCTATTTTGCCAGAAAGAGTAAGGGAGAGCTTATCTGGTTTTCATGTTTTGAAAGACAAACTTCACAGAAATAAACCACACATTGAAAAACATCTTAGGGAACAATTTAGGCTTATTCTTTTAAACTTTAAAGAGTTACTTAAACTGAAAACAAACTTACTTTCCTCTTACAAATCTCTCCATATTTTTATATCATGTTCAAGTGAAGAATCAATTTTTAGAAAACAAAACTTACTGTGCTTTTCTCTTAGGGAATAACTGAGCTAGTTTTGCACAGCTGAGAACTGTTATCACTTTGTCTAGGATAGTGTTAAAATCAGCTAAGGAGTTTGTAAAACAAGTCAATGCCCAAGGCCACATTCTAGTATAGTACCTTGGGCTCCTTTCCCTCCCTTAAATACAGCTTTAGTGAGGTATAATTTAGACACAAAACACAAGCATTTAAGTGTTGAGTTCAACGAGTTCTGACAAATGTATGCGCCTGCCTACATGATAAATGTATAATGACTACCACAATGATCACATACAACATGCCATCACCCCAAATGTCCTCATGCCCCTATGTAAATTCCTTTACCCACCAGTACTGGTCCCTGAAAACCACCCATCCAGATTCCATTTCAACAGAGTCATAAAGTATGAGTCTTCTGTGTCAGGTTCCACATTGTTGCTTATAACAGTAATTTGGTTCCTTTTCACCGCTGAACAGTATTTCACTGAGTAGATGGATAGTTGAAAAAATCTGTGTTTCCAGGTTTTGGCTATTCTGAGTAAAGCAGCTATTGGCATTGAAGTCTGTGTGAACATACATCCTCATTCCTCTTAAGTAAACACCACGGGAAGAACTGCCAGATCAGCTGGTAGTTGTATGTCTAACTTGGAAAGAAACTGCCAACTGTTTTTCCAAAGTGGCTGAAACATGTTGCATTCTTACCAGAAATGTGTAAGAGGAGTTCCAGTTTCACCACACTTTCTCCAACACTTGCTGTTATCAATGTTTTTAATTGCAGCCATTCTAGAGAGTGGGTAGTGCTACTGAGTTTGGTGTACAGTGGCTTTAATTTGCATTTCCCTAATGACTAATAATATTCAGTATCTTTTCATGTGCTTATTTGCAATCCATGTATCTGTTTGGTAAAATGGGTTCAAATCTTGTCATCCTACAAATTGTTTGTCACCTTAGTGAATTACTTTGCAAATACGTGAGAAGTTTAATTAATAACTCAATTTATCAATTTTTTTTTCTTTTAAGCTTCATGTTTTTTCTGTGTCCTCTACAAGATTTTTTTCCCCAACCCCAGGACATTAGCTTTTTCTCCTACATTTTTATAGTGTTACGTTTTACATCCAGAGCCAAAATACATTAAAAATTATGTGTATGGTGAGGAAAGGATGGAAGTTCATGTTTTACATATGAATATAGTTGTCCCAACTTTATTTGTTGAAAACACTATCCTTCCTCATTGAATTACCTTGGCAACTTTATCAAACAACTTGTATGAATCATATTTCTGTATTCTATGTTCTATGCCACTGATTTCTATTCCTACACTTATACCAGTACCACATTGTCTTGAATACTGTAGCTTTCCACTAGAACTCTGAAATCAGGAAGTTTAAATCCTCCAACAGCAGACTTCTTTTCAAAATCAGTTATGACTATACTTAGTTCTGACTATACTAAGTCTTTTGTATTTCCATATAACTACTAGAAAACTCTTGTCAGTTTCTGTAAGACTGACTTTTGGAATTTTTATTGGGATTGCATTCAATTTATAGATGAATTTGGGGAAAACAGGTCTCTTAATAATAATGATCAGAGTAGAACTTACTTCTCAATTTAAGGCCTTTATTAATTTCTCTTAATGTTTTAGTTTTCATCATGCAGTTCATTCATATATTTCATTAAATTTATCCCTAAATACTTAATATTTTGTTACTACAAAAGTTACTGTTTTAAAAATTTCTATCTCCAATTATTTGCTGCTAGTATGTAAAAAATGCAATTAATTTTGTACATTGACCTTGTGGCCTGCAACCCTGCTAAGTTCAGTTTTTAGTTCTACCAGCATTTTGTAGATTCCTTAAGATTTTCTACATATCACATCTTCTGCAAAAAAAGACTTTGATATTATCCCACATATCTGTTTTTCTGTTTTTAGTTTTTGTTTTTTTCTCCATGTTTCATTTTGCAGTTTCTACTATCATATCGTCAAAGTTGCCGATCTTTCCTTACAAACTGTCACCTCAGACACTGTATTTTTCATCTCCAGAAATTCAATGTGAGTTTTTTCTTTTTTAAAATAATATGCATTCCAGTTCTCTCTGGTGTGCATGTTCTCCTTTACCTTCTTGAACCTGTGGGGCATTTATACTAGCTATGTAACACCCCTGTCTGGGTCATTCCATCATCATGGTCATTTCTGGGTCTGTTTCTGTTGACTGATTTCTTCTTAATTATGAGTTATATTTTCCTGCTTTTTTACATGCCTTGTAATTTTTGATTGGCTGTTGGACACTGTGATTCTGACTTTTTGGTGCACTGAATTTTGTTGAACAGTATTGAATTCTGTCCTGGAGCTCAGTTAGGTTACTTGCAATCAGTTGGATGCTTTCGAGGTTTGAGGTTTGCATTTAAGTATTTGTAAGGGCAGTCCAGGGCAAACTTTAGTCTGGGGCTATTTTGCCCCAGGACACACATTTGAGGCCTCTTCTACTGAGACAGGTTTGGGAACATGAACTAATTCCAGGCCTTCGTCGTTTCCAGTAACTTTTCTGCCTATTCCTTTCTGGTTTTCCTTCTCCAGTATCAGGTAGTTTCTTCACACACTCATACAAATCAGTACTCAAAGATTCAAAGGCACCCTTCTGCAGATCTCAGAGCTCTTTCCCCTGACTTAGCGTGGCTACCTCTCCTCTGTGGCCTCAAAAATTCTCATCTCTGCCTTCTCTATGCAGGGAACCCCCCAGGCTGTTTCTCTGTTTGGCTTCCACTCCCTTGCACTACGGCCTGGAAACTGCCCCCGGGTAGCAAGCGAGGACAATCAACGGCTCACTTTGAATTCCTTCTCTCTGGGGTCATCGTCTACCACTACCTGTTGTCCAACATCTCAAAACCATTATTTTTTTTTATTTCTTTCTGGATTCCTGTTTTAGGAAAGGGGATAAATCAGATTACTTAAGTTCCCCATTTGATTTAAAATGTGGGACCAGTTTTGAGACCTAGTGAGCAGCTTTAATTTCCTTAACAGAAAACTTCCTTCGAGACAGAACACTTTTTTTTTTCTGAGCTGATTAGTACAGATAAGATTTGGAAACTTGTGCCACAAAATAGCCACATCATGGTTAGATAATATATTCAGAGAAATTTTTCAATAAAAGAAATGCCCAAAACTACTTTGTAAAGAAACTAAAAAACCACTATTCTTTGGAAGGAAGTGTTACATGGAGATTCTTAAACTAAAATATCTGATATAAAATGCCACAAAAGAATGCTTCATAAACCATGGAGGTAGGAATAACAAATAATTTGGAAAAACCATCCTCTTCCTGAGGCATTCCAGAAAAACCCTCACTTTTTTTATTTTTTTCTTACAAAAACCATTCATAAAAAGTATGTTCAACAGGAACAATACACAAACATCAATAAAAAATAAAATACAGAATTTTACTAGCATGGCTTTCAAAACCATAAAACTTGTAAATGAAATAAGGACATGAAATAAAAGCAAAATTTTACTTACCAGTAACAAAATAAGTAAACAAGGTTCTCTTTAGCGCCAGTACATTTCATTTCTATATACAGATTTCTTCCCATCCCTCCCAATATCCCTCTGAAACTTACCTTTCTCCAAATAAGACCTTGGAGCCCACGGTGGGTCCTCTTCAGCATAAGGATCACTATACTCAACCACTGCGGCCTCCTCCTCTTCGTAATCTTCTGGGGGAGGTGGTGGAGGGGGGGATTCATCAAAGACTGGTTCTTCTGCAGGTGGCGGCGGCGGTGGTGCATCTGAAACTAAGAACGTACAAGCTGATAACAAACTACACCTAATGCAAAGTTCAATATTTGCTATCGAAGCTTCTATGTTCATGAACCATAAACCTGGATTTGAAAATAATAATCTCTCAAAAAATGAGTGGGCAAGAGAATTCCCCCACCAACTATAATGTTCCCAACCTCAAAGCATGACTTTCTCCTCCCAATAGAGTTAGTATTTTTTGGATACTGCATAGAGTTTAGCTAAAATAATTATTAACTGAGCCTCTGAAAATTGTTTATGCTAATAAATAATCCTCTTTTTCAAAGAGATCAATACAATATAGTTTGGTTTTACATGATATCCAAAAATGAGTGGTTATCAGGAATAATAATTTGGATATTTATGACTATATTTTATTTATAGAAAGTTAGAATGAGTCCAGTGAATAGTCAAATTTTAAAATCTACCTTCTCAATGAATTTTAAAAATTAGCATCTTAGGCAAATTAACAGGGCAGAAATCACAAACAAATTTGGGTAGCTTTGTTTTGGTTTGGTTTTTTTATATAGAGAATTTCAACTAATTCAGACTAATTTATGATGCAGAATTTCTACATTTCTATTATTTAAAATATTTTAAATGTCTCTTTAATGAGATCTGCTTCCACAGCTCAAGTATCAACACAGTAATGTTTAAAATACTATCTACAAACCAGGAACTCAAAGCTTTTTAAATGCTTGGTACATACTTAAGCACAGCTCAACAAAATAAACTGAATAGAGAAAGATGAACCCTGAGCTGGTAGCTCAGTTGGCTAAAGCATCATCCCGATTCACTAAGGATGAGGGGTCAATCCCTGGTCAGGGCACATACAAAAATCAACCAATGAATGTATAAATAAGTAGAACAACTAAATGGGTATTTCTCTTCTTCTCCCCTCTCTAAAACAACCAACAAATAAATTTTTAAAAATAAAAAAATAGCTACATTTATCAGTTGTCCAATTTTAATGAACAGCACAATTTTTTTTAAGAACTTTATTTATTTTAGAGAGATGAGAAGGGAGGGAGAAAGAGAGGGAGAGAAACATCGATGTGTGAGAGATACACTAACTGGTTGCCTCTCGCAGACCCAGCTGGGGACCTGGCCCAGAACCCAGGTATGTGCCCTGACCAGGAATCAAAATCTGTGACATTTTGTTTCACAGGCCAGCACTCAATCCACTGAACCACACCAGCCAGGGCTAAAGAGCACAAATTCTTATTTATGAGGTACCAGTACTGTTTCCATGAAATTCTCTGAGCAATCTGTTTATTTTCAACTTTTATCTAAACCTACTGGTTAAATCAAATGGGTTTTAGAAGACTGCTATTGCCTGGTGAGGATTAGCCATATCAACTTCATACTCTGCCCTAGTCCAGTATTCTTCCCATCTGCTGTGCTACTCTGTACTTATCAATGTACCTACTTTATGAACTTCAAAACTTTACCCATTAATAAATAATTTAGTCCAAATGGGTTTTTAATAAACAAAATGTATAGCTATGTGACTTTAGGACAGACTTTATGACAAATTACATATGGTTGGGGTAAGAATCAACAATATATCCTATTTGCATTTATAAAGTAAAGAGATTGCCTTTAAACAATTCCACAAAAATATACATCCAAAGGAACTCTGTCTTTCAAAACAATCACCTTGACAAATTACGTTATAAAATTATTCAAAGATGCTGCCACTGCTTGTCTTTACCTTTTCTAATAACTGCCTGAGAGCCAGTTTAGTAAGACTAACAAAAGCTACCATTTTTTACTTAAAATATTCCAATTATTCAGCTAGCACTTTAGAATACATTATTTCATTTAACCTTTAGCTTGGGGGGGTAGTGTTTTTAACCTTCATTTTATGGATATGGAAACCGGCTTTCCAAGATTAAAGTAGTCTACAGTCAAGTAAGTGGAAGAGCAGAAATTGGAACTCAAATGTTTATTATCTACACTACCTTTAAAGTAATGTTTCATTATTATTCACTCAATAAACATCAACTCTGTTTATGTTTACTCTGGCTAGGTACTGCGCTCAGCACTGGGAATGCGGCAGTGGGCAAAGTCCTGGGGACATGGACAACCAAACTTTCGTTTTTGATTAAGTGCAGTAGGTGTTCTAAGTCACTATGGAAAACAAAGAAGTAGACCAAACCTCTTACATGGGTTTCTGAAACCTGACAGATGAGTAAAAGTTAATGGCCAGAGGGTGGAATGGAGTGGAGGTGGATATTTCATGTTAGGTGTAAAGAGGAAAAAAAAAAAAAGGCAAGGTAAGAAAGCAAGACTCCTTCAAAGAACTGACCAACGTTCAGCAGAAAGAGGCATGGGCAAGCTGAAGGGGACTAGGCAGGAGGGGCCTTGCAACAGTTTGAACTCAATCCAAAGAGCAATGGGGAGCCACAGAGGGTTTTAAGAATAATAGGATCATAACTACACTACTTAGCACAGTATAACTGGTTCCAAAGAATCCCAGACTTCTTCCAAATATCAATCTTAACATAGAGTGATTATCTGCTATCATAGAGTGTCTTCAAAATACTGTATTTGAAAGCTATAAAGATAATCCCAAAAGATAGGTATATCTTTCCAAGGTGAATGTTTTGAACAGGACAACTTTCATTTGAATGTATTAAGTCCTACTATGTCTTTAAAATCAGCCACAGCACACCTCATACAGTTTCTTATTTTATACATTTTATAGGTGAGAAATGCATATGACTGTGGAAAGGAATGAGAAAATACAACCTAAAAGGCAATCAAACTGTGGTAAACATTGGAGGTGCTGCTCATGGGGTGCCCTCCAATATAGACTGATGTAAGAACATAGGCTATTTTCAGAAATGAGCAAATAGAGATGCAAAGGCAGCTGAAAGAGATTGAGCCGTCGGTCCAGTAAAACTGGATTATAATCAGTTAAAATCAAAATCTTAAAAAAAAGCCCTGGCTGGTGTGGCACAGTGGATTGAATGCCAGCCTGTGAACCAAAGCGCCCTGGTTCAATTCCCTGTCTAAGGCACATGCCTGGGTTGCGGGCCAGGTCCCCAGTTGGGGGTGTGCAAGAGGCAACCACACATTGATGTTTCTCTCCCTTCCTCCCTCTCCCCCCTCCCTTTATATATATATAAAATCAGTTAAAATACAAGAAAGAAATGTGTCAATAAAAAAGGGGCATTTAGTCAGCTAGGGAAGCACAAAAGAGGAGGGACTAAAACTAAAAGTGTCTACTGTGTTAGATGCTTTTCTAAGTGCTGGGAAACCAGCCTGTACACAAAACAGGAAAAAAATCCCTACTCCCCCAGAGCTTACATTCTAGTATTGGGATTTTCCACATCCAAAGGAGCAAGAGTCCTAAGCAACACAGAGCAAATATTTCCCCTTAGTGAGGCCATCACTGTTATGAGATGCACACACTAGCCTGACAACATTAAATCTCTCACTGAAGTAATTCCCTTGCTCAGATTCCAGGCCCATCAGGCAACTTTATGATGATGATATAGTTCTTCACGTCAACTGCTCACAAGAGAATTCACCTACCATACAGACTGTTCACTGGTCTCTGTAACAGGAATTTGTTGTTACAGAGAGAATGTTGACACAGGCCTTCTGCTCCGCAGACACGTCTCCTGAGCTTCCTCAGTACTTCTCTAGGAGGAGACTCAATTCGTCAGTCAGATTAGTCATGTGATCTGCATGGCTCAACACCAGAGCACAGGCCAATGTGAATTCATGAATCTATGAGGCGCCCTGGGAACCAGTGTGGCAACTTGGTGCCCTGGAACCTACCTTAATCTTTTTGTACCTGGAATCAGAGGACCAAAGGAAGATTCTCAGCCCAGTCACAAAATCCTAAAATTCTAGCAACAGGAAACTAGACTACTGCTTGTCTGAGCACCCCCAAGATGGGATATCTATCTGGTGATTGAAGAGCACCTCCTCAGATGTGATCTTTGTTTTCTTACATGTGCCTTATTTTATATTTGTCTTTTCTTCACTACCAGATTTTAAGTTATTTTAAAGTAGAGAATTTCATCCTAATTATTTTATCCCTACCAGCTGCTCATACAGTGACTTGTCCATAATATTCAATACTTAAAATATCAGCAAATGAATGACTATTTAGCCAATCATCTATGACATTTTATGCCTATAATCTGATCTACAGCATAAAGAAGACATAAACTTACTATTTTCTTGGACTCTGGCCACAAATCCCATTAAAGGTAACTGAGGAGTTACCTGTAGGATGGAGGGAGGAGGAGGAGCAAGAGATACTGTAAAAACAAAAAAGGTGTGGAGGATAAGGGGTAAGGGCGAGTTACATTAAAAGAAAAGGATAATACAATAAAAAGAACATATAAGGAGGGAAACTACTATGCACAAACATTTTATAAGATGTAGTAAGGATCCTCTTTTGAGAGATAATTCATTACGCACAGTATTAGAGGAATTTCAAGAAAGTTCTTAAAAATTACAACAGGAAGCATTCATCATACACAGATCTTCTCTAACATAAAACGGCAAATTGATTTTTCTTATCAATAACAACGTATCTTCTCAAAGAATCTCTTCAGACTATCATAAATAATTTGGGTTTCTGGATTTTACTTTGATGGATACAAGTTTAAATATTTGTCAGTACAAGTGAAAAAATCCAACTACATTCCAACGTCCTAAATTTAGACTTTCCATTACATTAACAGGCAAATTCATTGGTTCTTCATTCATTAATTAAGTATATATTTACTGACTTTCTACTAAGTGGCAAGCACTCTAAGAAACCGAATCAAAAGCATTCTCTGAGAGTCGGGTCTTTGTTACTACAATTTTTCATAATCCAATTCATACCACCTGCTCAAGCAGGTACATTTTCTTCCTGACCTGACTCAAAAAGGTTGGCCTCATTCCAATCATTCTCCTCTCCTCTTCAAGATGTCTGTCCCTCTACCTCAAACACCTGGTACAGTGTCTAGTGCTAGTAAGCCTTCAACAACTGTTTAATGTATGTGAATACACAAATAAGCCAGGCATGTGCCAAACAAGTTCCCAAGATTAACTCTACAGTTATAGTTTCCTTCAGAATGGGTATAAAGTATGGCATGCGCCTTCTTATAAAGAGAGAACACCTTCATCAGCTCCAAAATGAGGTTAAGACTAATAGAACTAAAAACTAAGAGTCTCTGTCCTCAAAGAGATCATATTCTAGCTGGGAAGATTAAACAAAATAGTAACATTAACCCAAGAGCATTTGTAAGCAATTCCCTGGAGGTGGAGGTGGAGAGGGTGTGGTGCGATGGTGGTAGCCTTGTGGCGGTGGTAACGGGAGGAAGACCGCACAGACATGACTTGAAGAAAAGGAGTTTGACTGACACGCAGACAAGAGTTGAGAAAAACAAGCTGAGAAGAAAGTGAGGAGAGAGGCTTGGAGGTGATGAGCTCACAGGGCTAAAAATGTTTCCATATGGCCAGCATAAGGTACCCCAGAGAGAGAAAGTACAGAACCCAGGTGAGTGGGTGGATATAAAAACCTTAGGTGAAAGAGTGCTTAGTGGAAAGAGACGGGACCTTTTAGCCACTCAACATCAAATAACCTGAGTCATCATTTTTTTTGATGTTGGAACAAGTTAATTTATGTCTACTACATTTATGCCTACTACATAAATGTGATATTAAAAAAAAGATAATGTAACCTACTTTACGGAGTGGTTACAAGTTTAAAAAAGAAAAAATAAATGAATCCACAATGTGTGCAGAAAGCCTAAACCAGGGCCTGGCACAAAAAAATCAAGACAGTAGAAACAGCAAGAAAAGGAGAGAACTTGTTAACAGTGTGGGAAAAAGAGTGCTTGGTGATGAAGTATTTGGTTAGTACATGAAGGACAGCAACAACTAAAGATAATTCTTAGATTTTTAGTTTTCATAACAATGCAGGTGGAGGTGCCATTAACCACATTAACCTTGGTAGGTAATATAAAGAAACAGGCTGGTGAATGGCAGGTCTGGGAGAGATAATGACACAATAAATAGGATGTATGAAAGTGACTTAGGCATAAGTCTGGGAGGCAACTAGAAAGTCTGGGTTAAGTTTGTAAGAAAAATTGAGAGGAACAGAGACAGTAGTGATCAGTAGAGAAGTAATAGTTGTGCTGTGAGTAAAAGCAGGGAGAAGATCAATAATGTATAAATAAGAGTTAATTAGATAATCCTGAAGAATATCTAGATTTAAGGGACATTAGTATTAGCCCAGAAATTGATATCGTTCTTCAAAAGATACATTTTGGTTACGTTTTTCCCAAAAACCTTATTTCTTGGTAATAAATCCTTAAGTTGTTTGTCTGTCTCCTACTCACTGAAGCTTGAAACAATTGCTGATATGTTCACAATACCCTGTTTCCCAAATTGGGGTCAGAAGACGACTCAATGAACAGAGAAGGTAGCAAAGACAAAGCAGATCAAACTGAGAAACAGCAGCAGACAGCAAATGGCAATAGAAAAGTAGCAATTACATGAATGTTCATATCAAATAAGACGAAAAGTTCCCCTTCTGTTACAGCAGTCCCAGCCTCCCCTGTAACAGAAAAGTAGGGTATTTCCCACTTTAGTCATTGTTTCTCAACCGTTTTCTTTTTTTTTAAAAAAGGCCTCTGGTACTCCAAAAAATGAATGATCAGGTGCCTTAACTGAGATAGAACAGTCTTTTTGTAAGTAAATTGTATATTACTTTTTCAAAAAGATGAGTATGTTTTATTTCTTTTCTAGCTCTGAAAGTGAAAATATGAAACCATGGTAATTTTAAGAAGTCCACCAACAGCAATGTAATGGGGTGGGTCAGAACAGAGATCTCTGGAAAGCAAAAGACTCCAATTCAGGCAGGGGACCCACAAATCCAGCACAGTCTCTCTCCCCATTTTTCCAGGAAAGGCTGCAGATTAAAAGCATTGTGCCTTCTCCAAGTCAGGGAGGAGCCAATGGAGCAGAAGGTGCAGTGCTTAGGGCACACTGCATATGGAAGGCAGCTAGAACCAGGCAGCCAGGCCTTCCCAGGAGGAGGGGCTGCCAGAGGAGACTTCCTGCCAGCATCCTTGCAGGAGGAGGGGCAAAAGCAGACAGGGACTACATTAGCCCTCACTGGTTGGCTGGAAAGCTGGATGCTCCCACTGGCTGCTGAAGCACATGGGATTCCTGGAGAGAGGATCTTTTCTTAAATTTTTTAAAATATTTTATTTATTTTTTGAGAAATGGGGGAGGGAGGGACGGAGGAAGGGAAACATCAGTGTGTGGTTGTCTCTCACATACCTCCAACCAGGGACCCAGCCCACAACCCAGGCATGTGCCCTGACTAGGAATCGAACCGGCAACCCTTTGGTTCACAGGCCAGCGCTCAATCCACTGAACCATACTAGCCAGGAAAAGAGGGGACCTTTTAAATAGGAGACGAGGAGAACCGGCTTGCTCTCTTCGCTCATGGTGCTTTGGCTTGGAACTTTTGGTTGCAGGTATACTTGGATGCTCTGGGTCTCTGGCCCCTGCTTCCTGTACAGACAAGAGTGTTCATGCAACCTGCAGAGGCCAGGCCCACCAGGGGCTTAAGCGCTGTGTGGTAGGAAGCCCACTCCTGCAGGCAGGGTCCCACACTGGGACATGAGCCAGCCTCTGGGCCAGCCTATGATCCAGTGCAGCATGGCACACAGGTCCTGGACTGCTACATTGAGGCTGAGGACAATGTACCCCAGATCCTGAAGGAGACCTGCTGCAAGAAGATAGCGACTCTGAAACCCATGAGTGCACATTCCAGAGAGGATGGAGATCTGTTTGCGTGGCCAGCTTAAGCTCCAGTAAGGACAGATAAGGAAATGGGAAACTTCTGGGTATGGTTTTAGCCTGTAACTTTTTGGTAGCAAGGGAGGGTCTGGGTCTTGTGGGAAAGAAAGGCCCAGCACAGGAGTACTCTCAGCACTCCTGAAATTGGAACCCTGTTAATAAAAGCCTGTTTCCTTCAACATAACTCTTCAAGGCATGTATCGAGGCAACAAACAGCCAAACCCCAGGGTGCACAGTTACAGCAATCCCAGACCTTCCTTAAACAGAATTATTTTATAACAAAATAAGTTAGTTAGATTTTTTCCAAAGCCAGCTCCAGAACATGTTTAAAAATTCAGTTCCAAATGCAGTATACAAAGATCACCCGAAATTCTGTTGTTGTTTTTTTTTTTTGCCCAGGACCAAACCTTTTCTATTAACGGTCGAAATCAATTCAGGTATCATAGCATTTTCTTTCTGGACCATCTAAGTAAAAATTCATCTGACCAGGGCTCCTGTGAACCAAAATATCCTACTTGAGAATAGATTTATCTTCCTTCGAGTTGAGTTGAAAATGAACTATTCTAGGAGTATTTAAGCAGGATTTTGATGTAAAGATTTGTTTACTGTATTCAGTTTTAGTATTAGGCATCTCATAAACAGGAAGAACGGGAAGTAACTACAAACTTAGTTTCATTCTAATTAGCTGATTCTTCAACTAACAAGATCCTTTCTCTATGACCACTAAAAGATCACCAAACTTAGACCGAGTAATGTTATGTTCATAATACACAATAATGTAGTTAATATGAAGACACAAGCTCACCAAGTGACTGAAGTTTACACACTGATCTTAAGTAGAACAGCTTCAAGAACTATAGCTTATCTGCACATAGAAACATGTAGGTACAGAAACAGTAAAAAGCTATGCAAGCAAACCAAACTTAGAAGATGAGTTTGTGCTGATAAAATACAGTCTTTCTAAGCATAACCTTCCTGGTTATTTATAAAATCCTGTGTAGCATAATCTTTGAGGCTTCAGTGTTTTAAATTGTCCAGTTCACAGAGTTTTGAAAACAGACAGGCTTTTACATTTTATGTTTATAGCTTTATAAATACTGAAAAAATTAAACAAAATAAACATTCTAAATACTACTTCTAAAACTACTAATCACTATTAGAGACCAAACAGATTTCATAGCTCATTCAAATTTAGTTGCTTATATTTTATACACCAGTGAAGGACATAATTTAAGCAATTTATTTTAAGAGTGAAATATTTTTTAAACATGGATAGCAACTTAGAACAAGGAGTATTTAAAAGTGAACATGGCTAATCATACTCAGTAAGGGGAACTTTTTTGGTGGAAAAGAATATGATTACCAGTCCTGTATAATCAGTCCTATAGTCTCAGAGGGCTAAAAGAATTGGAGCATTTTTGTTATTCCTTTTCAAGTAAAAAAAAAAAAAAAAAATCACCATATACTGCCAAGAACAGTAAATTAAGACTCAGTTTAAAAACATAACTTGTGTTTAATAATTGGTGTAAAGGGTCTGTTTGGTTTACTTTGTCATTTGAAAATATACTTACACCTTTCAGCTGCTTTCTTTTTTTGTTCTCCGTCAGTGTTTTCTAACAAACCCTAAAGACTGCCCAAAATGAGGATTTAAAAATAGCTTCTTACTACTGCTCTTTATTTATACTGTGTGTAAGCCCTTCTACATCTGTATTCTCCTGGATATTTTTGGTAATTCTGTAACTTAACTATCACTTTAATGTGGTATGGCTTCTCTTTGCAATTTTACCAGGCCAATATTGTTTTTCACTGGTTGTTTTTTATTTTTAGTTGCTTTTAATAATACTCAGGGGTTAATGTATTACATTTTCCCTGTGTAAAATAACATTCAGAAATTCTCCATCTCATAACTGTATACAGTCAAAGTTCTTAGAATCAACATTCTAATTAATTAGATGGGTTTTTTAATTTTTTGTTGTAGAAAGTGTGAGCAGTAAAGTGTAGGGTATCTTTAACTAAAGCCTTAGTGTTTTAATACCACACATTTGATTCCCTACAGTTATAGACTGAATGTTTGTGTCTTCCCAAAATCATATGTGAAATCCTAATTCCCAATGTGATTGTATTAGGAAGTGGGCCTTTGGGAGGTGATTAGGTCATGAGAGGGGGGTCCTCATTAATGGGGCTAGTACCCTTATAAAAGAAACCCTATGGAGCGCTCTCTCTTCTTTCACCATGTGAGGCCACAACATGAAGAAAGCATTCTGCAACTCAGAAATGGGTTCTCACCAGAACTCGGGCCATGTTAACAGCACACTCACTGATCTACAACTTCCAGCTTCCAGAACTGTGAGAAGTTTCTGTTGTTTATAAGCCACCTAGTCTATGGAACTTTGTTATAAAAGCCCAACAAAGACACTTAGAAAACTAGGTTTACATATGTATATTTGTGTGTGTATTATATTTTTACCACCAAGGTGCTTCGTATTTACATTTATAGTAACACTGTTAGCTTGTGATTAGCCCTGTTTCAATGACCTCCTCTTACTGCTGACAAGATGAATGACAAACTGATGTTGCAATTTCTTTGGCTGGATTAGATTAAGAAACGTAAGAACCAAAGGATTTCAGTTATGCCCCAAAGTGTTCCTTTCATTACTGTGCTCCTAGGACTTAGCTCTAGACACCTGTGTTCTACATTTTAATTCCTATGTTATAATGCTCTTTCAAACTCAAACCAGGTATGGTAACAGTGCTGCTAGATTTACATCTCACAGAAAACCCCAGTGAATTACATTCGCATGAATCCCGGCCTGTCGGCTCACTTCTCCGGAAGCACACATGGATGTCAAGCCTCCCATTGTCAAAAATATGCTCATAAAACACATACCTGAGGTCATTTTGTTAAATCAGGTTATTAACTACTTTTTCAAAAGCACAACAAATTTTCTCACTTTAAATATGAGAAAATAGGGACCACTGCAAGATCAGTAGAGTAATACATGAGACTTATATGAGATTCTAAAGCAAATAAAACAAAGGAGTATTTAATAGCTTTAATATACTGTTTTTATAAGCATTAAGTCTTATAAAATGAAAAAGTTTTCAAAGAACATTTTAGTAAAATAATATTTTTAATTTAGAAAAAGCACTCTGATTAATCAATTAACAAAGCTGTAGCTACACTCTGTAAACAGTTACCAAATCACTGGAGTAGAAAGGCAGAACTTAAATGGGGGGGCGGGGTGGGACAAAACCCACTAACTAAACTGTCTCACATACTATACTGAAGGCTCATCATTTCCATTCACTGTACTTTCATGAGCATAAAAAATACTTTCATTAAAATGATACCATAGAGTAAGATATTTTTCTACTTTAATATACTTCCAAGTATGTTAAAATCATATTTATAAAGAAAGAAGTACTGAAATAGGTGTTAAAATATTTAAATATGTGCTTGCAAAGCCTTCAAATAATTTCCACTAACAGGGTTCTCATAAGACCAATACTCTGTACATGTATATAGCATGAAATGTCCTTGAATATATCAGGTTGGCCAAAAAATTCATTTAGTTTTTTCTGTAAGTAGTGCTTAGTTGTCTTTAACTTCATTCAAAACAATTTTGTTAGATTGTATTGTAACAGCTTTCATATTAGTGTACATTTGAAAAAAACTTATGAAAATCGGTGAATTTTTGTACAGTCATTTTAGTATTGAAGACGGAAGAAATATGCAACATTTTTCGCATCTTATGCTTTATTATTTCAAAAGAGATAAAAATGCTACTGAAATGCAAAAAAAAAGATTTGTGCAGTGTATGGTGAAGGTGTTATGACTGATCAAAAGTGTCAAAAGTAGTTTAGGAAGTGTTTCGGTTACTACTGACATTTTGGCAAAATAATTTTTTTGCTGTGGGGCTGTCTAATGCACTGGAAGATGTTTAGCAGCATCCCTGGCCTCTAACCACTAGAAGTCAATAGTGGGAGGTACCCGAATACTCAAAATATCCCAATCAATAAAGTTATTGGTGAAAATGAAAAATGTGTCTTTTCCAGCAACACTGAAAGGAAAAGAAATCAACAGAGACAAGAGGGAAGGAGGGAGGTGGGGTGGGGAAAAGGAAGGGAAGGGGAAAGTCAAGGAACATATAGCAAGGACTCATGGACAAAACCAAAGGGGAAGAGCTGAGGGAGGGAAGGAGGAAGGGGGCAAGGGAAAGTGGTGGGGGGTAGGCAGAGACAAATGTATTTGAAAAAATAAATTAAAATTAAAAAAAAAAGAAAAATGTGTCTTTTACAGGAAAAAATAAATGAACTCTGTGGCCAACCTAATATGTTCTGTGTATTATGTATAGGTGGTCCCAAGATGTAACAGTGAAACATCTCATTCCAGAACCAGCCCATTTTGGACTGACATCATGCTTTCAAAACTCGTTCCAAAGAAAAGAAAGGGTATAAGTTCCCTAAGCAATAATTGTCTAGATTTCCAAGGGGGCCAGAGAGAGAGAATTATGAAATAATCCATATCTAACAAACAGAAGTTTAAAAATAAAAACGCATTTAGGTCCAAAAAAACTCCTATTCAAATATGGGTTTGGAACACGTGATTTAACAGAATGGATAGAAAGATAAACAGATTTATCAAAAATAAGCTCAAAAAGAGTTAAAAAGAATGGCACAGCCAACATCACTAAGTGTGATCAAAGACAGCAGTGAAATATATTTCAAATAAGGCACTACGGAGTGCACTGATTAGACTAGAAATATGGCATTTAATTTGAAGAGAGACCCAAAACAGTGAAGGGATCTGAATAAAGGAACAGGGATTCAGTCTGCATTCAGCAAATAGTTATTGAGCACTATTCCCAAAATATAACTGTATAAAAAACTGGCAAAGTCTCAGGCCCTCATGCATTTTGCATTACAATGTGGATATCCTCCTCCCAACAAGAGAGAGCACATGAGAGGATAAGAAAAAAAAATTTTTTTTTAATCTGAAGGTAGGCAGCATAGTACAATAGAACATGGAGTCGGATAACCTAAGTTCAAATCCTAACTTGACCATCACCTCAGTCTCAGTTTCATCACCTGTAAAATACAGATGAAAATGATCACATAATTATAATAATCAAATAAGATTATTTCTTTTATTATAAATATAAAAGCATTCTTTAAACTGTTTAAGAAAAGGATTCAAATTCCTTTTGCACAACTCCAAAGAATAAAACAAAGTTTCACCAAAAGGTAGTAGCCATAGTATACAGATTCCAACTCCATAAAATTCAGGGTATATCAAAGGTAAAATGGGCTGTCTCCTAATATTAGAGGTGATCACATACAAACTTACTGGCCTCTTGACAAAAATCCAGAAAAACATTGTAAGTTGGCATACCATATCCACAACAGTCACAAAGTCTAACATTTTTCTCTTTTTCTGGAGAAGCAAAAATTATTATATGTAATAGTAAATATGTGCCAGATTAAGTTTTCTGTGTGCATGATGCAACTGAAAGATGATGTAATATCTGAATCAATCTGACCAAGTACCACTTTTCCCATCATAGGTTTGTTATGAGAATTAAATAAGACAGTATAACTCCCTAGCACAAAGCAGCTTCAAAAATGTCCCTTTTACTTTGCTACTTATAAACTCTGCCCATATACTCAATTGTCATTATTTGCTACTCATAGAGCAAGGATATCTGATTAAATAGGAGGGAAATATTGTTTACCACAATTTTTGATTTTTAAAAGCAAATAATCACTAGCATATTCAAAAAGATTCTGTTCAGGAAAATTAAATTCTACAAGTTTGTATGAAAACCATGTATTGGTATTTTTAAAAAAGAACTGGAAAATACAGTACTAGTAACTTTGTATTCATTCCTCCATTTATTCAAAAAAATAGTACTGACCTCCTATCATGTGTTAATCATTTGTAATTAAAGGGTTTTTATTTTTTTCTCTGTAACTAAAGGATATTATTAACCAGGTACAGTCGATGGAATGCAAACGAATATCTAACCTGGATTCTGGCTATAAAAAGGTCCTCCATTCATCTGATTCTGAAGGCTTGTTTGTGAAGTTATAGAAGGAGGGCGTCTATAGGGCAATGAGCCCCCTACTGTTGGGGGGGTATGGCGAGAGGCAGGTCTATTCATGCTGTAGAACTGCACAGGATGACCTGGAAAAGGAAAAGAACATAAATTTTCCATTAAAAGAAAATAATCTCAGACAATGAAATACTTTAGGTACAATGCCTGAATCTTAATAAGATTATGAAAAATAACAATGTTAGCTAATTTAGTTATCTGACAAATATAATATAAGGTGACAATTATTGCTCAGCTGACATTACACTGAAGTGCAAAGGCAGGAAAGTGGATTATTGATTAGGTCTGGGAAAGCCACATCTAAATTGATTACTAATTAATATTAAGATTTTATTAAGTTAATAATTTGATAGGATTTCCAAATCATCACAATTATATTAAAATTTATGGCTCACTTCCCTGCTTCACCCCACCAAATCCACCAAAGATTAAAAATTAAACTAAGCAAATAAAGATGACATTTGGGAAAGCCAAAGAAAAAATGTTTGATACATAGTCTTATTCCAAATTAATACTAATAATAGTAAATTTAAGGTAGCAAAGCGATTAAAAAAATATTCCTAGCAAAATGTCAAGTGAGATAATCAAAGATATCTTTATTGCCTCAAAGATATGTGCTTCTGAAACCAGGTTATTTTGTCTTTAAATTAGTTTAAGAAATTCACAATTATGAAAAAAAACTAAGATACAAAAAGTGAATCAAAATGTATCTCATTTTTAATATCATTCCTGAATCTGTACATAATCATCAGCAATATCACTGTACTCTGACCTCTGAACCAACTGAAGACACTATTTCTTAACTATCCAATTTCCTAAATTTTATCAATCCAGTTCCTAAATTTTATCTTCATTCCACTCCCACTCAAAATCACTCAGCTGGGGACCTCCTGTTACAGACAGACAGACAAACCACTAGGCAGGGGTGTCCAACCTTTTGGCATCTCTGCACCACACTGCAAGAAGAAGAATTGTCGGGCCACACATTAAATACACTGCAACATGTCATCACAAAAAAAAACCTCATAAGGTTTTAAGTAAAGTTATGATTTTGTGTTGGGCAACATTCATAGCCATCCTGCGAGAGCATCCGGCAACCTGGAAGCCAGCATTCCAGCAACCGAGAGAGGAAAAGAGGGGAGGGAAGGGGCGAGAGAGGACAGATGGGGAGGAGGAGGAAAGAAAAGTATCAGGGGAAGAAAAGAGGAGGGAAGGAGGGAGGATAAGGTGAAGAGAAAGAAGGAGGGAAAAGGAAATGAGAAAGGGCAAGAGAGGAAGGAAGGTGAGAGAAGGGGGGAAAAAAGAAAAACTTTTAAATTTTTCATCTTATCCATGATTGTAAAATGGTTTTACCTGACTAAAATTGGTCCTCAAGAACTCCATAAGCTTATCAAACCTTGATTCATGTAAAGAATATTACCAAAGCGCCCTAGCTGGTGTGATTCAGTGGAGTGAGCACTGGCCTGTGAATCAAAGGGTTGCTGGTTTGATTCCCAGTGTGGTGCACATGCCTGGGCAGCAGGCCAGGTCCCCAGCAGGGAGCACACAAGATGCAACCACACACTGATGTTTCTCTCCCTCTCTTTCTCCCTCCCTTCCCTTTTCTAAAAATAAATAAATAAAATAAGTATTTTTTTAAAAAGCACTCAAGATCTGCTATACTATTTAATCTTCTTCCATACGACATATCAAAACATAAAAATCAATCCTGTTAATGAAACCTTAAGGATTAAAGCTTAAGTAAAATCCACTGTCAAGACACTGTAATCATGATTAAAAATATAAAAACATTTCTGGCCAAGAGGGAGGCCTAGGTAGATATGCATCGTTTCTTCACACAACCAAAAGATAGCGACCAACTTAAAAACAAAAAACAACTAGAATTGCCAGAAAATCCATGTGTATAGAAATCCAACAACCAAGGAGTTAAAGAAGAAACATTCATTCAAACTGGTAGGAGGGTGGAGACCGGCAGCTGGGATGGAGAGGGCTTACTACAAGCCAGTGTCTGGCAGAGGAGGCAGTCCCACATTTGTGTGCAGATAAACAGGGAGGAACTGGGGAGTGTCGAGATAAGAGGGCACAACCCACAGTTCCAGCGAGGGGAAATAAAGCCTCAAAACCTCTGGCTGTAAAAAAATCTGTGGGGGTTGCAGTGGCAGGAAAAACTCTCCCAGTCTCACAAGAGAGTCTGCTGTAGGAGTCCACGGGGTCCTAGAATGTACACAGCCCACTCAACCGGGAATCAGCACCAGGGCAGCACCTGGAAGGGAGCAATTCACTTGTGCATAGCAAGGGAAGTGACTGAAAGCTAGCCTGGAGCCAGGCAAGCAGCACTGTTCCCTCTCTGACCCTTCCTCCCACAGCGCAGAGACATGGGTTGCCCTGCCCTACCAAATACCTAAGGCTCCACCCCTTATAATAGGTGCACTGAGACAAAGAAATATGGCCCAAATAAAACAGATTGAAACTCCAGAAAAAGAACTAAGACATGAGGAGATTAACAACCTATCAGATGCAGAGTTCAAAACACTGGTAATCAGGGTGCTCACAAAAATGATTTGAGTACAGCCGCAAAATAGGGGAAGAAGTGAAGGCTATGCAAAGTGAAGTAAAGAAAACTATACAGGGAATCAAGAGTGACAGGAAGGAAACCAGGACTCAAATCAAGATTTGGAACAAAAGGAAGAAATAAACGTTCAACCAGAACGGAAGAAACAAGAATTCAAAAAAATGAGGAGAGGCTGAGGAACTTCTGGGGCAGCTTTATATGTTCCAACATGCAAATCAAAGGGGTGCCAGAAGAAGAAGAGGGAGATCAAGAAATTGAAAACTTATATGAAAAAACAATGGGGGAGAACTTCCCTAATCTGGGAAAGGAAATAGACATGTAAGTCCAGGAAGCACAGAGTCCCAAACAAGTTGGACCCAAAGAAGAACACAAGACACATCATAATTACATTACCCACAGTTAAAGGTAAGGCGAGAATCTTAAAAGCAACAAGAGAAAAGGAGACAGTTACCTACAAAGGAGTTCCCATAAGACTATCAGCTGATTTCTCAAAAGAAGACTTACAGGCAAGAAGGGGCTGGAAAGAAGGATTCCAAGTCATGAAAGGCAAAGACCTACAACCAAGACTACTGTGTCCAGCAAAGCTATCATTTAGAATGGAAGGGCAGATAAAGTGCTTCCCAGATAAAGTCAAGTTAAAAGAGTTCATCATCATCAATCACTTATTATATGAAATGTTAAGGGACTTAAGAAAAAGAAGATCAAAACTATGAACAGTAAAATGACAACAATCTCACAACTATCAACAACTGAACCTAAAAATAAAAACAAACTAAACAAACAACTAGAACAGGAACAGAATCACAGAACTGGAGATAACATGTAGCGCAATCAGGGGAGGGAGGGAAGAGGGAGAATGGGGGAAAAGGTACAGGGAATAAGCATAATTGGTAGGTACAAAATACACATGGGGAGGTAAGAATAATATAGGAAATGGAAAAGCTAAAGAAATTATATGTACAACCCATGGACATGAACTGAAGGTGAGGAATGCTGGAGAGAATGAGGGTACCAGGCAGAGGGGAATAAAGGGGAGGAAAAAAATGGGACAACTGTAATAACATAATCAATAAACTATACTCAAAAAATTTAAAAATATATAAACTGTTATTTAAAAGGTACATCCTGTCATTTAAATCACCAGGTCCAGCCCTGGTTGTTGTGGCTCAGCTGACTGTATCACCATCCCATAGACCAAGGAGTACGAGTTTGATTCTGGTGAGAGACGTGCTTGGGTTTGGGGTTTGGTGCCTGGCCAGAGCACATGCAGGAGGCAACCAATCAATGTTTCTCAGATCAATTTTCCTCTCCTTCTGTTTCCCCCTCCTTTCCCCACTCTAAAATCAATAAACATGTCCTCTGATGAGAATTTTAAAAAAAAGATAAATCACCAGATACAAATTATTGGCATTTCAGTAATTACTCTGTAGCAACCAAAACAAACCTAGGATCAGTGAGTTAAAAACATCTGGTAAGAGCATTGTGAATTTTCATATAGTTAGATCCAGTCTAAAATCTCACATGTAAGTCCTCAGTGATTCGAAGACACTACATAAAAGAGACAAGGAGACTTTTCTTATCATTAATAAGGCATTTACTTTGCATGTGGTTGAAAAACAAAACAAAACTACAGTTTCCTTACCATAGACCTAATTGTAAAACCTAAAATAACTTCTAGACAAGACAAAATTTTTATGAACATATGCAAGGTAAAGAGCTTGTAAATATGACACCAAAAGCACAATCCACAAAAGAAATAAAATCAATGAACTATCCAAATTTTAAAATGAAAACCTAAGCTTATACAAAAATCTGTGTGCAAATATTTATGGCAGTTTAGTCATAATCACCCCAAACAGGAAATAATCCAAATGTCTCTCACCTGGGAAAAGGATAAACAAATTGTGTACATCCATACAGAACACTACTCAGTAATAAAAAGGAATGAAATAATGATACATGCAACAATACAGATAAGTATCAAATGCGTCGTGCCAAAAAACCAGACCCAAAAGGCTATATACCATATGCTTCCATTTACACGATAGTCTTACAAAGGCAAAACCTGAACGACTAAAACCAGATCAAGTGGCGGCCAGGAGCCAGGAGTGAAAGGAAGGACTGCCTACCAAGGAGACAGGGAGACAGTCAGGGGGTGTTAAGACTGTGATGCCCCTTGATTGCCGTTGTCGTGACATCACTACATAAAATTCCAAACTCACAGAAATACACATTAAAAAGGGCAAATTTTACTGTACATAAATTATACCTTAAAAGAAAAAAAATGGGATTCAAAGACACTATATAAAATAATTATGCCAATATAAATTGTTCTGAGGCATTTACTGCCTTGTTTTTTGTTTAAAAAATAAAACTAACTATAATTATCCACTCATACAATAAATGTTTATTCAGTGTTTATGAACCAGCACCTGTTATTAAATTATAAAAATGTGAACTCTCAGGTGGGGGTGATTTGTCCTTTATTGGCCTACAATGATTTCAAGATGTATTCTTTACTGATGAAAGAGCATAGAAAAATCCCTTTATTTAACTAGTCCGGCCAAACAGCTGTATGTAGATCAAAGAACAGCCCATGTTTACATTTACCAACTGTAGAAAGCTTTTCTTTAAAAGCACTATTATACAAGCTATCCCATAAAACACCATCCAATGTCCATTTTAAGTAAAAGTGTCTTTAACACATTTAAACATCTGGTTACAGCAGCAGAACTGAATATATATCCTATGAAGTATTTGGCAAGCTAAGGTGATGTGTGTCCAAACATACACATTTTTATAATAGATAAGAACTTACTTACTAACCAGCATCACTATTACCTTTACAAATACATTTTGTGTCAAATGAGCCCTTTTCTCCTTCCCCATCAAAAAATCAGATTTTAGGTTATAATTTCTATCAACATTAAATAAAAAGTAAATCTGAAATTCTTTCAAAGTCCATTGTCTCTGTGTTTCCAATACTGCTATAATAAACAGGTTCTGTTATAATAAACTTAGATACCTCTGAACAGCTTTATCAAATACTTTCTATAAAATATACTTTAGAATTAGTCACAGACTTTTCACTAATAACCTGTTAACAAACTATTTCTAATGACAAATTTTCAAAACTGTGTAGAAGACAGATTCATACTGAATTCACAAACCTCTAGTAAATGAAATTCAAGCAATAAAAAAAAATGGTATATTTGACCATATGATCTCAGCTATAACTAGAACCTAATCACCAAAACAAAAAAGCGAGCAAAACAGAACCAGAGACATGGAAATAAAGAACAAACTGACAGCGGCCAGAGGAGAGGGCAGGGGAGGATAACGGGGCAAAGAAGGGGAGGGGTCAAGTTAAGGAACGTGTATAAAGGACCCACGGACAAAGGCAATAGGTGCCGGGGGGGGGGGGGGGCGTGGCATACTGCATGTGGGAGGTGGGAGTGGGTAGGGCAGAGAAGAGTAATGGGGGAAAATGGGGACAACAATAAAAAAATTCTTTTAAATGTGTATCTGTGCTGCTCTATTAGAAAAATGTATGAGAAACTTTACCCTGATTTCCTCAGAATAGTTTATTTTGGTCACATGACATTTTCTAGTTAAATTATTCTTCATTTTTATATATACATGTATATACACACATTCACACAAAGCACAAACAAAAATCATAAAGCCAGAGTTCCAGGTAACAGAAGAGCTAGATGACTGGAGTTTGCCTGCCAAGGAATAAGCCAATACTCACCTGCAGGGGGAGTGGAAGAAACAACAGGGGGAGTTGGAGAAGTGAAGCCATCAGCAAGGGTCTGGGCACCCCCAGCAGCTGCTTCAGGGGCAGTGGAGGAAGGGACAGTAGCAGGAACAAGAGGGGCAGGGGCAGATGCAGAAGTAGCAGGAAGGGGAGGAGTACCAGCAGAGCCAGCAGGGGCTGAGGGGAAAGAGGAGTGAGAGGCAGCATTAGCGAGGCAATCCCAGTAGGCAGGACTAGAAAAGGCATTAGAGAACTTAATGTTAGATATTCAGTGCTAAACACTAACCGGAGAACAGAAGAGAGTGGTAAAAACCAAAACAGAATAAAGCTTATGTTAAGGGATTATTAGGTGTGCAGCAAATAATTCAAGATGCCGCGGTAATGTAGAGATTTTTTAATTCATTAAAAACAAGCATTCTTTTTTTATCTGAGAGCCACTATTCTGCAAGTACTCCCTTTATACTGTAATTTTTAGTACAACATTCTGTAAATAATATAAAAACTAAACCTTGGCCGGGTATTCGGTTGGCTAGAGCATGGTCCTGATACGCCAAGGCTGCCAGTTCGACCTCTAGTCATACAAGAATTGATCAATGAATGCATAAATAAGTGGAACAACAAACTGATGTCTCTCTCAAATAAACAAACAAACAAACACTAGGAAACAACAGCATTCCATTCTGAATTACACAAGTCAGAAAATACGCTCCAGATATAAGTATCTTATCAGGTAAAAAAGACCATTTAGCAAAACACAAATCTCTCTTTTCAATGATTTTTGAAAAGGTATTTGTTATTAGAATAAGTAAATTAAATATGTAATATTCTATCCTTATGTCTTTTGTGTCATGCTTTTAAAACTAAATTTTAACTTTGGTACCCTCAGATTAAATAAGTACATTGTTCTGTTTTGGAGAAAAGAGGCGTAGCATTTCAGAGACTATTAAGTTCCAACAGTCCACTAAACTGTCAGAACTACTCTGACTTAACTAAAATTGTCTTTTAACACACTTAAACATTTAACACATTTGTCCAATCCTTTGTTACACGTATGATTTTCACACTGAGTCCCCTCTCAGTCCCAAGGCATGCACTGTCGTTAACACTAGCTGGAATTAAACACACAGCACACCAGTATGGTACCTCCAACCTCAAAGTATCAACTGAGCTACGGCACCAAAAACATAAAACTTAAAATTACAGGGAAGTGTGTGAGCATAAATTTACAAATCACTTGGTTAAAAATAACAAATGTATAATAAAGATTTCCCAACATTTATGGAGTCCCAAAGGAAAATAAATCCCGATTATGAAGAAAGCCCACTGTAATTAAATCCGAAATTGACTTCAAATTCAGAAAGGACAAGTGAAGGTGAAGCACCATTCATGTTTTACCTGGAAAGACACTGGGAGGAGAGGGAGTAGGAACAGCAATGGGAACTCCTACGCTCCCACTTCCACTGTTCTCACGGCTGCTGCTCCGACTACTGGGGTGACTTCCTCCACTACTCCCACTGCTGCTAAAGAAACAGGAGCCACCAAAACATGAGTATTACATACAATTAGAGATCTCCAGCATTTCCCAACATTTTCCAAAATGAATATAGCCACAATAAAGATAATTCAAGTCCTCTACTTCAAATATTAATTTATTAGTGAGGGAGAATCTGAGTTCAAGAAACTTGTTTTGACCACCCTTTAATAAGCCTATATTAAAGAAATTAAAAAAGAAAAAAAATGTTATGAACATAAATGATAAATGATGGGCTCAACACATAATAATAATACTTTCTTTTACTCCAGTTTAATGCCTGTCTGAAGAAATTCCTTTTTTAATAATGATTTTCCTAAACAGATTATTTAACTAATTTCATTTGTAATATCTTGATATACTACCCCATATTAATGCTTTATTGCACATAGTTTTTCATCTGTAAAGTTCCACCAAAAAACAACTTGAAATTTCCCATATCTAGTCCATGATTTTTTTAAGGTCAACTATTACTATTAATTTTGCAGAGAGGTGTGTACTTTAACATGTCTTTTTCCCCCGACTTCCTGACTGCTCAAAGTTGCATCAGAACAGGAGGAGAGAGAGGTGGAATCAGATGGGGTTTGGGAGAGTAGAGTGAGGAAAAGAACTTAGTGCTTGGAAAATGAGAGAGATTTAACTGAAGTTATCTAAACAGATTATGGTACGATGACCATCACATTTTGTGCTGAGGTAGAGAAAATACCTGTAAGTTCGATTTCTTTGATTCACAGAAGCTGTCCTCACAGGGCTCTGCTGCGAGGGAGCCATATTACGGGTTGGGCTAGGTACGTAATCATTTGGTACCACTGGAGGACGCACTGGCTCCAGTGTGCGATAGGGGGAGTGCCGCCTACAAAAAGAAGAGCGTATGTATGGTGTGATTAGCAAATTTCGGCACAATAAATTCAAAGAGTTGCCAGTAGTGAAATACAATTTGTACTCAGATATAGGAAAATGTGTTTTTACATAACCCAGCTACCAATTTCAGTCTTTCCTTAGGTATCACTTCTCCATCATTAGGGTTTTGATGAATATTGTTATTTTTTTAGTCTCCAACCTCATTTCCCTGTACTAATGCAATTTTGTTCATTCATTCTCATTGAGCATAAAGAATCTCCCACCAGGTAAGAAGCCAATGTTTCCCAGGCTCTTCTTTTTTGTGGATGAGTTCAAATTATTTTAGTGCCATGTCAAAGTCTCCCAACTGCATTACACGAATGCACTAATTATCTCTCCTCACCCGTCTCTCCCTAACCGAAAATATTCAAAGACAGGCTCCCCAACCCCCACACTGATGATCATGGCAATTACAACCCTCTATTTCCTTTTCTATAGACTAAATACATAGAAATTAAACTATATCCATGTACAAGAACAAACAATTTAATCTCATCTCCTTCCATTCTCACCTCACTTCCTCCTTCAACTTTCACCTTGATCTCTCTTACCTTTTACCCTCCCTCAGAGTTCAACATTTAAAAGAAAGGAAAAAATACGAAGACCACCTAAGTCTTTCTACGGTATTTACTCTGAACCGTAAAATACAAAACAAACAAGGTGTTATTGACATATTTTTTCCTCCAAATATCCTTTTAAAGGAAGAGAATGAGAAGAGTACAAAAGAAAATAGGGTTTCGAAATTCTTTTTGTGTGTTAACATTTAGCTATTGTTAAATTTTTTATTTTTTCAACTACTTTACATTCATCATTACTGTGTATTAGTTCCAGGTGTACAGCACATGGTTTCCAAATTCTTTACAACAATGATAAATAACTAATATTTTGTAGATGAGATTCTGGTTTTTATAAGGAAAAAAAAAAACGGGATCTCAAAATGTGAAAATTAAAAAGCTTTCTTTTCCTGAAATGATGTTGCTCATTCAACTTTGAATTTCTCAATAATTCACTCCCTCATAGCTCCCAAGATTTCTTTAAATACTGTTCTCCAGGGTTACTCAATTATGGTTCATTGATTTTGAATGAGATCACTTTGCAATGACCCATCCACTCTAGTACCCTCAAAAATCTCCTTGCATAACTACATATATAACTAATAATTAAAAATAAATAAGGGGTACTAGATGAGAGATTGGGTCAAAGGAAGAAAAAGGAATGACAGGACCCTGCATTTAAAATACCTAAAAGAAGTTTTGGCATCTCTGAAATTATGATGTAAATATTTAAAAATCTTAAAATAGAAACTGATTAATTTCTAAACATCTGCTTTCCAGACAATTTTTCCCAAATAAAAATGTTGTCTCAAGCCAAGAAAAAAAACCCTCTGCCGATTGAGAACTAAACAGTAAAGAAAATAATAAATACAAGGTAAACAGCACAGGGCAGAGGAACAAAATATGGTGGCTAGGCAGAGACTGAAGAAAGGCCAGGCTATGACCATCAACCAGCAAGCATATGGTGCTCAGAGAGTTGGAGGATCCCGTAAAAACCCTTGCTAATACACAAGGAAAACATATATTGGTATATGAGTAAATCTTCAAATTATGAGTAACAGAAAATTTTATTTTATTAAAGGCTACAATGGGTAAGCTTGCTAACAATCTTGATTTAAAACCTAACAAAATCCATTAGGTACGATACATAAGAAAAATGAGAGACGTTCCACAAGACAATAAGGCAAACACTTCCTCTTGATCTGACTCTCTACTCTAACTCTGCAAAATTATATCCTACCACATCATCAACATTCTACTCTGACATTTAAATTTTATTTGATCTACTATATTTGTTCCTCTCTAATCTAAGCAGAATTTTTTTGGTCCTATTCCTGGCTGAAATTCATTTTTATTCTTTTGTTTCCCACTGTCTTAATTACATATCCTCTTCTAACACTGTCCTCCTCCTTTATATCCCTACTCATCTTTGTCTTACCTTGACCCACAGCACTTGGTTAGGTTTTTTTGTGTTTTTCATTTTTGTTTGAATCTTTTTTCTTTTCTTTTTTCTTTTTTTCTTTTTTTTTTTTGGTGAGGGGGCCAGAGACAAGATTGTCAATTAAAAATTTCTAAGTATAAATCATAAAGCCAATGGTTGTTACAGCATTTTGTCTGTTTTATACACTTTTTAAAAAATCCAATTCATGGTAGTGACTCTGAAAAGTTGACAGATGACAAATATTACCCCCTTTTACAGATGAAAAAACTGAACTATTAAGAGGCTGACTATGTAAGACCACAGAGCAGGAGCAGAGCTGGACCATAATTCTGGCCATCTGGCTTCTGGGGTATGTTATGCCTATCTGATCACAAATCTCCACAATAAACTCAGGTTTTTATAGTGATTCTACAGAAGAAAAACCAGTCTTATCTATTAATTGACCATTTCTGCCAAAAGTCAAATCCAGAGCCCACTTCTGCAGAACCAATTTAAAGCTCATATTCTCATAACACAGATTACCAAATTTGTATCTACACAATGCTCTTCAGAGGAAGTCTAAATAACAGTCAACTGTAATACAAAAGACTAAAACTTTTATGAAATTAAGAATTAAAAGTGCAGTTTATAGTAAACCATGAACTTGTACTAGTATTTTATTTTAAATGTAAAATTCATTAGATAAGTAATTTCTAAACAAAATCTTTTTAAAGTATAAAAATGTTTCCCAGGAAAAGGGAAAATTACACACAAAAAGATAATCCTAGGAAGAAAATGTTCTCTTTTCAAATATTAAAAAATAATTTAAATATATGTAGTGTTTAGTTTTCAACTACACTGCATGAAATGGTTTTCAGTTATTACTTAGTTATATACTCACCCAAGTGTCCCTTTCCCTGACATAGGGGGACTGGGGGGTTTCTGAGTTGGAGGTGTTGTACGCGGCAGCCCACCCATCTTCATATTCTGGGTACTCACCTAAAAAATTTTTGAGGAAAACTCAACTTGTATGCAATGAAACAAAGTGTCATTTTGGGGAAATGATGTTATGCTATTTAACAAAGAAGGGGAAGGTTTAAACAGGAAAAAAATTAGAGGCCATGCATTTCATATGCAATATCTACTCTACATTATTCTACAGTTGTACTCAAAGGACTCTTCCTAATGTGAAATTTTCAAATAATTATAAACTTGTATGCAAAGACTTTATTTGCCATTAGGCCATCACACCAACAGATCACTGGTAGGACTATTTGATACTACATTCAACTGAAATTAAATAGAATAACTATAAAAACTTTAGTTTTAATAGAGTAAACTTAAGTAGTCAATGACACCCTGAAGCAATCCTTGTCTTTTTAGATAATAAGTTTATCATACAAAATGTTTCTCAAATAAAATATGCAACTATGGTTTTCCTTCATTGTAACTAGAGAATACAAAATAAAGTTAAATTGCATGATATACATATAAAATTTTAGTTTTTAAATAGTAGATCAGCCTTACAACTATTATTTCTTTAATGTTCTCTTATGGAGGAATCACCTACCTGCAAACTGCCAGAAGTTAAGGCATGTACCTAAACATCTATCCCATTCACCTGTGAGCAGTACAGGGGCCACAGGCAAAGTCCCAGTCCCAGTGGGAATGAAAGCCATTCAGGCCCAAAATGAAGATTAATTCAGCCACAGGAAAGATGTAAGTAACACAGTCCTAAATCAGAGCTGGGCCTTACTCCCCACTATTCTATCCCCAACTGGAAGTGCAAATGTAGAAAGGTTGGGTGGTGAGGGAACAATGGATGCCACAAAAGAAGTAAGTCGGCACTTATACAGAAAGCCCTAAAACTCTGGATACTTTAAGGAGCTATGAGAAGTCATTTGCAAATAAAATTCAAATGCAATCTTAAATTGTTTGAGATTACCAATGGGTAAGAGTTAATGTTCACCATATAATTAATGTTCACTTGACCGTATTTTCAGCCCCTCATATTTAGGATTGTCAAACACTTCAAAAAAGGATCTTAACTTTTGTAATAAGAATGTCTACAGTATTCAAATTATACTTGTAAAATGAAACTTCAAGACATTACACAGGTGAAATCAGAATACATCTCTATATGTTATTTCAAAAATAAAATAAAATTTTAAGGAAACAAATCATAACTGTATACAGAGTACTGAGGGTATCAAAACTATATAGAATTTTTTTAAATCCTAAAATACTACTTCTCATTTGAATAGGTAAGAAATAATGATATCAAGAAACAAACTCTTCAAATGATTAGCCCAGTGAGCAAGTTGTGTGTGATGATAAACCAATCTTTAATGACAAATGACACCTTTGAAATGTCGGCATTTTTTAGTAAGTAAAGCATTTATCGGTAACCCTTTTGTTGTTGCCTTTTAACAATAAATATTAAACAAACTGGTTATCAAATAAGAATAAAAATTAACTTATCCTTGCTCTCCCCCTCATTAATAAGCAGAGGGGTATACTAATCATATCTCAACATTAAAATGCCAGAAGATTTTTTTAAAATCAATCCATATTTGGGGAAAATTTGAGGAGTAATATAATAACAAATAGCTTTTAAAACTGTAAATTTTAACTTATGATACCAGTAGATTTTTTTAAATTAGTAACCAAAGTCCTTTAAGCTCAACCTTAAACAACATAAAACCCAAGGTTACTTCAAGTGACGAGGGAGAAGTACATGAACCAAACACTAAACTACATCAATTTGCTATAAAGGAAGGAAGAGGATCAGGAATAGAAAAAAAATAGAAGAGAATTTTATTCTATACATGGAATAGCTAAAATACTTGAAAACAGCTTTCCAACTCTGATATAAGGTTTTGGTATGTAAGGTGTTTTTGTTTAAATTGCAGTATCTTCTTTACGTCTTTTAATCTAGCCTTCAAAATACAAAATACACAATTTATAGATTAAAATATGGCGGATGTTTCTATAAATAAAATTCGCTGCATTTCATATCTGTAGAACCATCATAAGATTGTATTTGCTTGGTTTAATGAGGTTTGGATGAGTAACTTAAATAACTGAAGAAACCAGAGTCCCTATAGAATGTTGAAAAAAAATCTATAACTATACTTCACTGATACTGTGCTACCTTCACTATATTAAGCAAAAAGAGTTTTTCACTAAGAGTTTTTCTTTGTGAAAAATGCTTCTATGCTAAATAAAATAAATATGCAATGCAAAATATAATACTGCCATCTAGTTTAAGGAAAAGGGAAGAGAACAGGAATAATTTCCAAACAAAATTTAATTTCTTTATCATAGGTGGGATCTGTATTAAAATTAAAGTTAAGAAACATTTGAGGTCTAAAATATTTTTATAAAAAATATGAACTGGATAGTCATCATGGTTCTAAAAACTATTTGAGGAAACTTTGTAGGGATAAACAATATTTCCTAACAAAAAGCAAAACACATAGCTAAATTCTGTGTGTGGTAAAAAGGAACAGAGAGGGATGGAGAGGGAGAGAGGAAGGCAGAGGAGGAGAGAGGAGGGAGGGAGGAAAAGAGAATTCGAGGGAGGAAAAGAGAATTCGAGAGAGGGAACGAGAACACATCATAAACTCAGAACAAAGAAAACAAAACAATTCTGCACCTAGTTCATAATGGCAATTCCACATGAAACTTAAAAAACTGTATGCATAAGCAATTTTTTGCTTATGTGTTAAACATAAGCAAAAAATTCTATCTAGCACTTAAATGTACAGTTAATAGTCCTGAATTATGAGTGCAAGTGCCCATTATAATTTTCAAAATTTTCCTTGGAAATTGGAAGAATGAAATTTTGGTGGCTGGTTGCAACAGTAATTCAATTAGGTCGGAATATTTTGATTCCATAACCATAACTGAGAGCTAAGTAAAGCAGGTATTGGGCACAAGGAAGGAGGAAGAAAGGTCTCCATTTTTTCCCCCCACTGGAGAGAAACCCTGAAAACAGAAAAAGATATTCATCTAAGTGATGAAGATTAATGCATGGCCACAGCTCAAATACTTTCCCACTATCCTGTGACTAAGAAATGCAGATAACACTTGGAGGTAGCAGCAATTCCTTTATAATCAAAGAGCGGTCTGGTCTCCCAGGCTTTGGAAATCTCCACAACTAGCACTAGCTGTCAGGCCAATTCTTATGCCTTACCATTTTTTCTATAGTGCCCCTACCTTTCCTGCTCTAACCTTGTTTGGGTATGTTCAATACCTCCTTGAACCCTGACATAATATAATGCTCATTCCAAATCTCAGTGCTTTCAAGTACCCTGTGAACTTCAGTATTTCTCATAAAGCTGGGCAGCCAGGTTCGTAAAGGTCATCACATCTGCTACAAAAAAAACACACAAAAAAACCTCTGACAGGTGACCTGCTGTGATGTAACAGTGGCAGGCATATCTTTAATGATACTTGTAGTATAGCCCTCATTTATCCACCATTTACCACCTATCAGACAACTAGGTACAAGAGTAACTGAATATGAAAAATAAGGGTGACACCAGGGGGGAACACAAAAGTCTATAAAATGATTTCTCGGCTTCTAAAGAACTTATAATACTTTAGAATTTATGACTCATATGTGCAAACAAAAATGACTGTCTACAACTTATACAGACTCCCTTCCACCAAAAGAAATATCAATGTGAGAAGGAATAGCTACAGAAGATTTCACAGAGAAAAATATGAGCTGGACTGTTAAGTTTAAAAAGAAGAGGGTTTAAAAATACAGAGAGAAGAGGAGTAGTCTATAGGTTGTGTCTGGGTGTGGAGCAGCGGAGATGCACAGAAGGGAACTGTGGTCAGGCACCTCTGGGCCTTCATCACTGTCCAGTATTGTTTCCCTTTAGTCCATCCAGGACATAACTCTGGCTTCCTAGCTCTATCCTTCTCCTCAGAGGATGTATGCTCCTACTTCCTAAAATAATTCTCATCGCTAGCAGGAAAAGCACCAGGAGATGCTCTGAAGGAAATTAAAGCCGAAGTCAGGAATTCAAGTATGAATTCAGGAAAAAGGTAGAATTTTTACTAACACAGTTAAAAAGACAAAAAGCCTAAGGTGCCAAGACTCCTGAAATAATCCAATATAGAACTATGGGAATAAGAGATCAGGAGTAAAGATGAACAAACTTCAGCTTGATTTTGAAAATCACTTCTGACAGCTGGCTTTTGCCAAAATAGAATTGGTGGCTCACAACTGGAACAGGCAAAACCAAATGGGTCTACCAAATGGGTCTACCAAGGGTTGCTGTTATTACAGAGTTTTTCTTCCAAATATTATATCAAATAAATGTTGTATCTGAAAGCTAGAAATATGAGGGACATTTTACCATCTTCTGTATGTAACAACAAACACCTGCTAAAAATCTACACTCAAGTGAAAAACATAATCCATGTTTGACATAAGGTTAAGTTATAGACCTTCAATATGCCAAGCAAAATTTTCAAAAGTATTATATTCTTAACATTTTAGTTATAAAATAAACCGTTAACCACCTCCTCATTAATTATGTAGGATTGGCTTGTGCAATGTTCAACTAAAACACTACATTAACAGATCATAAGTCCTTACTATTTTTGATTAAACTAATACACTTACTTAAAAAGTGCTTAAGCTTAGCTTCATTAATGACAGCTTTCCACTTTCAAAAGCAGAAAAATCTATTTCAAATACATCGGTAACAGTCTTAAAGTTCTTTTTACTATAAAAAATAGAGTAGGGGAAGGGTACTCCATTTCAAGGTCTTACGAATTAAACTCGACAATGTTTTCCTCAGTCGACTGAAGAAAAACCAACCCAAATTTCAGATAAAAAGAACCATTAAACAGCACCAGAACATGAGTTATAAAAATGTTAAAAATTCAACATTTAAGTATAGAGGTCTCTTCTGATTCAATTCTCACATGTCTGATCCTAAAGTACAAACTTCGTTTAGCTTCTATCCTAAAGGCATCAAATCTGACAGCAATGATAGCAAAAACAGAGCTCAAGAAGAGCTGAGGAGGAAATCAAAGTAGCAGACAATCCTACCAAACATCAGGAAGCTTCTAGGGCACTTGATATAATCCACAGGTCACCAAGAAACTCAGTTGAAAAACTACCAGACTAGTTTAGTATTTGTGGTACCCAACAACTTTTTTACTTTAATTCTATTTAACACCTTAATATATTCAATTATTCCATTAACTGCCCTTGCAAAACCACTAATCTTTATTTTTTCAAGCATAAAAGGAGAAATGATTTGCTGAGTATTTTTTCACTCTACTTTGTTTTGGTTCACCCCACATTATTAATGTGCCCTGAGTTTATAGACAGACATATTCACAAAAAGGAAAAGGAGGAAAGGGAAGGCAGAGCATTGGTGCACTCTAGCTTCTAGGATAAACTCAGGGAGGGTGCCCTTCTCACCCAATCAGTTCCACTCAGGTGTAGTGGAAACACCTACACCGTCTAGAGCCACTGTGCTGAAGAGTGGAGCTATTCGATATAAAGAGCAAAGGAGTTACAGAGTCTTATCCAAGTGTGATGTTTCCTTGTTAGATCTTTCTTTCAAGGATCCTCTCATTTCCCACTCACTTTGGCCTATCTCCCACATGAAGATCCTGAATCCAGGATGGTCAAGAAGGAATCATATTAGGATATGGAGGAAATGAGCATAGGGTAATAGCAGCTTAGGCAAGCTGGTCTAAACTTTCAGGGGAAAAAATTGGTCCATTTTTGTGTTTTTCCTTCAGTTAATTTCTGTGTACTTCATTCACTCTGGAGGTTAACACATCAATAGCCAAGTCTGTAATTTGAATACAGACTTTAGAGGAAAAGAGCCAAGGTAGCCACACTATTTGGGGTCTAGTTTTACCTTATTTTATGCAAAAGGAATATCCTCACTATTCCACATGTTTCATTCACCAAAACTGAGGACATAAAGCCAACACTCTCCAAGGGTGTCCAACCTTTTGGCATCTCTGCACCACACTGGAAGAGTTGTCTTGGGCCACACACTAAATACATTGCGACACATAATCACACACACACAAAATCTCATAACGTTTTGAGTAAATTAACAATATCTGTTTTGGGTCGCATTTATAGCCATCCTGGGCCGTGTGCAGCCGTGGGCCACGGGTTGGACACCCTTGAGGGAGACAATCACACAAGGAGGGCATTTCCCTGGGCTCCTCTTGTCACATCTCCCTATCACAAAAACTTCTGTGGCCACATGGTTAGTAGCTAGTTAATAATTCGGATCTCAGTTATCTTGTCGTCTTCTTGTTGCTTTCTACACTGAAGTCATGGCAAACTCAGTATTAGAAAGGCAACTGTACTTGAAAAGAAATTATAAAATTCACCAAAGGGGAAAAACAAAAACAAAAAGGACATGAAGGCTCAGTTTGGAGAAAATTTTAGTAACATACTATTTGAAAGACTTTTTGAATATACTAGAATGTCTTTTACTGTTAATCCTCCAAAATACTACAATAAAATATTGCTGAAACAAATAACAAAAGGAAATATTTACCTAATTCTTAATTTGTATTTTGTGAAACACTATCATACACTTTTGATGTTTTGCATATAATAGTTTGAAAACTCTTTACGTGATTTTATACTGAAATATATATTTTACATGGCAATTTGAGAAAAAAGACTAATTTTTGTCTTTTCAAAATACACGATACTGCAACTTAAAAAAAAAAACCTGTAACACTGAATATTTTCCGCTTCTCAATTTCTTTACATTAAGAGTCAAGAGATAATGACACAGTGGCCACAATGTATATAATTAAGCACACCATTTATAGAATAAAAGGGCTATTACACAGGGGGAGGGTTAAATAAAGCACATTAGTTGGCTCTCCAATTCATAACAAAATTTCTACATTTATAAAATCCAGCTAATTTTACTTCATAATGACATTATATGATATGGTAATTTATATTTCAGCTTCAAAAAATATATTAACATTGCAAAATAACCATTTATTGAACAAATATTTACTAAGCACCTAATGAATAGTCAGGCACTGTTCTAGGCACACAAGATGGGGCAACGAACAGACAAAATAACTGCCCTCATGGAACATGAAGACACCACAAAGCTGCATGACAAAAATAAAAAATAAATAGAAAGAGGAATTATTCTTTGGTTTTAAAAGGCCAACTGCCAAGTATCTCTTTACTCCCCATATGTAATATTCTACATAAGAACAAAGAATGGAAATCCAGCCCTGGAATCTCTTACCTTAAATCTAAGCAACCACTTAATGCATAAATGGAGCAAATAAAAGAGGTAAGGAAAAAAAGCATTGAAAGGTTAGTTGGAACTTCAGGATGTGAAGAGAAAGGAAAAAACAAAGAAAAAACAAGTTAAGCATTCAGCATTAAAAAATAATGTTTCAGTAGATCATAGAAAGAGTGGTTAAAGCAGAATGTGTCATGAACAAGAGTTTTTTGATGAAATTATATGACATTGTTTATTCAAAAACTACTGAAGATTTCTTCAAATTAGTGACCTCTAAACACTAAAAGTTCAAGCAATACAATGAAAAGGACTACAAAGTCCCAAATAGTAACATTTTACTTGAGAATTAAATAAGAACTGGAGTGGTGAATCACCTTTTTTATTATATAAGAGGGCAAGCACAAATATAATGTTTTATATCTTAAGTTCCTTTCAGTCATTAGATTCTGGCGGTACCCTAAAATTTTCTATTAGCAGTTGCTAGCCTTGAATAAATTTCAAAAGGTTTTCCCAAGTTAGAATATATTTCAGTTATTAATTGTCCATCTAATTACACATCTTATTTTAAAATGCTTTAATTAATACAGTAATCTAAATGTATGTAGGTTATCATTATAAAATTAAATATCAAATTCCAGATAATAGTGATTATCAAAATTCTGAGGAAAAAGATTTTTTTAATATTTACACTGTAAATTTTCACTCACCTAAGTCTAAATTATAGTTACATTTAAATGGTTCCCAGCCATACTAGCATAGAATATTTTTTAAATTTAAATTTGCTTATAGTCATAAATCAACTGTATAAACTGGTTTCACTTATAAGCACATAAGTATTTATTTATTCAAAGTCACATTCGATAAGTTATTTCATTGTCTTAAAAATCACTGATGAAATGCAAACATTTAAGTAACTTAATACTTAGCTGAAACACCAAATACTTTAAGTACAAATACCAATTTAAATAAAATTTATATGCCCCTCAAAGTCTGATCATGGTATTTTATATACATAGCAGGCACTCAAATACGTTTTAGAAGACAGCCAAAAAATGTAATGGCTAAATATGCAAAAGCAGCAGGAATATTAATTCACATCCTACTTTCATCTACACTATTATCACCCAAAATTTTAAAATTATTTTAGAAAAATCAAAGTACATTTCTGTTTGTTCTTTCTGAAAGCTAATGTCAAAAGTTTAATGATAAATTGTTAAGATAAATACTTTAATAACATACTGAATGATTTTTAGTCAGTTATATTAAATCATTAAAAGAATTAGAAAGATTATACCACACTTATCATATATGTGAGGTATTATATAAATGATTAAGCAAATGCAACTCATTCAAAGATAACTATTTAAAACTGGAGAACACAGCACTAAGAAGAAGTAAGGAAGATAAAACTAGTTTATAGCAGCATTAAGGAATCTTCATAACCACACCTGGGCCAAGACTTGGTTCTACAGAAAAGATAAAAGCTTAATTTTCCAAAAAGTTCCAATTTGGGCTATTCTTTTTTAAAATGCGACAAAACTTACCCTTACCTTTACTCCGTGTCCAATATCATCTAGAATTGTATAGTCAATAGGTTTTCTAATATAACGAACCGGTCGTTCAAGATTGGCTGGAGCAATAATCTTATGTGTCCTTGAAGTGTTTTTATTGGTAGTCAAAATACCAATTTCTCTTCTTGCAACTTTCTCTTTATGAATATCAACAGTCTGGAAAATATAATATAAAGACAACACAAAAATGTATAGCTCTAATATCCAGAAAAATCAAGACACAAATGTTCAAGAGATTTAACATCATTACTCATATCCTTAACCACAACTGTTCAATTTTCTCCTTTTCTGGACAATTACTGACTTTCTCCAGTTTGAAGCTAAAACAAGGGTTGGCAAACCATGCCTGACAGATGAAGTATGGCCCACCACCTGTTTTTTCACAACCCAAAAGCTAAAAGTGGTATTTGCATTTTTAATGGTTGAAAAAGTAAGAAGAAAAATAATGCTGTTATGTGTAAAAATTATGTGGAATTCAAATTTCAGTTTCCATAAATAAAATTTTATTGGAACCCAGCCATTCTACTTGCTTATATATCTTCACACTGCTAACGTACAGATGAGTAGTTCTAATAGAGACCTATGGCCTGCCAAGCCTAAAATATTTACTAACTGGGCCCCAAGAGAAAAAAAGTTTGCCAACCAGTAGGTTAAAGCATCCTGTTTTTTTCTCCTCTCCATTAAGATTTAGCCAAATGTTATGATTAAGAAAGCCCCAGTGGTTAATCTGGTGACATTTAAAAATAACCTACTCGTATAATTTTTATTTTTTAATCTGTGAAATTAAATACTTTAAAAAAAGGGAGGCTAAAATATAGTTTGCTTAGGTAAAATGGCTTATGGCTTATATTTATCATGACACAAAGCTTCTAAAATATTACATTTATTTTATTTATTAAATATTCACATAGGTTACATGTGTTTTTATTCACTGTCTACCATTTGGTAACAGAGGGCAAATTTCTCAATAAACCTAGATAATTAATACAAAAGAACACCACTTTTCAAACTACAGGTTGCAATTTAGTGGGATATGAGTAGCAGTTATCTTAAATAAAATAGAAATATCACACTGTAAATACACATAGTAAGGTAAGTAATGTTTTTTAAAACATTTGTTATGTATATAAAGATATGCAGAGTTGTGTACTAGATACAACATATGTTTTTGTTATTGTGGGTTGCAGTCCGAAGGTTTAAAAAACGCTTCACTAAAACTATTCACATTTCTTACCATCATTCCTGCTCAAGTAGCAAGTAATAAGACATTTTTGCTAATCCCTTCCCAGTTCTACTTCAATTTGCCCTTTCTAAAAGAAGAACCAAGTAACAACACTGAAATGGAAAGGAATAATGATAACCATCATGACATTATTGAATACCACTTTTAAAAATCTGAAAGCTGATGATTTACCTTTCTAAACTACCTGAAGTCTGAAGGAAACTTGAAACAAACTCAAAGCTTATTTCAACCTAGAGATCTTAAAAGCAACATAATCTACAAGCTTCAAAACTAATAAATAGATCAAATAAAGCATCAAATCAAAGACTGGCTGAGGTAGTATGACCTTATCACTTTAGGTATTTTCTTTTAAGACAAAAATAACCTGAGCTTTTTCTGTGCACGTCAGGTAAGTTATGAAATCTGCTTTCTTTTTCAACTACTTGGGGGAGCTATACCAAAAAAAAAAAAAAAAAGAAGTTTGCATATCAGTGATGATACTGGAATTTATTTATTTTTTAACTTCAGAGAAATGGAAACCTCACTTTGCGTGATTTTTAATGAGTCATTCTGAATCACTGAAAATACAGACTGGGAAGATTTCATACCTAGGTATGTTTCAAAAATAAACAAAAATCAAACAAAATATGGGCTTATTTTTTTAAAACTGACCTTTGTCATATTATTAAAAGATTCCAATAATACAAAGATGCAAGGAAAATATGACCAGCAACACTGAAAGGAAAAGAAATCAACAGAGACAAGAGGGAAGAAGGGAGGGGGGCAAGGAAAGGGAAGGGAAGGGGAAAGTCAAGGAACATATAGCAAGGACTCATGGAGAAAACCAAAGGGGAGGAGTTGAGAGAGAGAGAGAGGAGGGAGCGAGGGAGGGGGCAAGGGAAAGTGCTGGGGGGGAGGCAGAGACTAATGTATTTAATTAATAAATAAATAAATACATGCTTGAAAAGAAAAAAATTAAAAAAAGATTCATCAGAGAATACAGTCCTCGAGATACCGTTTCTACTATGCTTTTTAGAAATGTAAATATCGATTAAGATAGCGGAGGAGTGAATGGGAGTCACGCTGACCTCCTCCCCCCAAGACCAAACTGAAATTGCGACTAAATAGTGGAGTAATCACCTGGAAAACAATGGAACGATAGTGGGAGAGGAGAATTGGAGCCGGACAGTGGATTGGACTCTCACACATCCCAACAGGTGAGAAGTGCGGTGGAGGCTCGAGAGGGTGGGCTGGGCGCCCACGGGCACCAGCACCAGAGGGACATTGAAACAGCCAGTTAGCTCCCCCCAAGAAGAACGGGGTCTGAATCATAAACAGGGACCCCTAAACTACAGCAGCTAAAACCAAGAAAATACAGACAAAACGCAACCCCGAAAAGCTTAGGGGCGCTCTCTGCCAGAGACAGGTGGCTGGGGGTGCAAAGAGACATTTAAAGGGCCAACGCAAAAACTGCAGTGGCAGCCACCCTCCTTGATCTCTGGGTAGAGGCGGCGGCAGGGTGGGCTGGTGCCTGGGAAAAGACTGGTGAGGAAAACTTTGTGAAGAGAAGTGAGAGGCGGTGGAGCCCCGGTGATAACGCACCTCCCACTCTGCAGCTACCATCTCGCTCAGGCATAAGGGAAACAATTAACCTGCCTTTTGTGCGCTCCGCACACAGCTTGTGCGCGTGAGCTGGGGGGCTGAGTGCAGACTGGCTGGGAGAGCCTTGAGGAGAGACTGGAGACGGAGGCGTTGGGGAAAGAACCGGGGTGGGGGGGCGGGGGGGAGGAGGAACCGGGGAGTCCCAACTCCCTCCCCATTCTGCAGTCCCTATTGTGGGCTGGAAAGGCGCGCCCGCAAACAGGCGGAAGCGGGGCGCGAAGACTGCCCGCGACTGAAACACAGTCCACACGGGTGGTGGATCCTTGGCGGAAGGGGTCACAGAACTGCCCAGAGACCCCTGAGGAGAGAGTGGAAATGGAGGCGTCGGGGAAAGAACGGGAGGAGGAACCCGGGAGTCCCAACTCCTCCTTTCCGTAGTCTCCATTGTACAGGAAGAGGCCACACCCCCAAAGAGCCAAAAGCCGAAAAGCAGACATAGACACCCCAAAACTACCCAGTGCAGGGGCGAACACTTGCGCCAAGTGGCCAGCGAGGGTTGGCGAGCGTGTGTGTGACCCACGCGGGCTGGCGAGGGCTCGCACCAGCTGGCAAGGCCTCCCACAGATTGGCACCGATATGGCCAGCGAGGGAGTGCACAGAGTGGCAAGGGCAGGCGTAAATTGAACCATCCAGTCCGCGACTGCGGAGTGGCTCAAAGAATTAGTAGATCTCCGGCCGAAGGGGTCACAGAGCTGCCCAGAGTCCCTAGAGGAGAGATCGGAGACAGGATTAACCGGAGAGTCCTGGAGCTGACTTCCTCCCATTTCCGTAGTCCCCATTTGGCGAGGGCAAGCAATGCACCCAAAGAGCCAAAAGCGGGGAAAACACACAATAGCAGACCCTAAACTGACCAGTGCCGGGGTGCCCGCCAGCCAGGGGGGCCAGACGAGTACGTGAGATCGCGAATAAGCCCCCTGATATGGGGCAAGCACGCGTGAGCCCAGGCGGGCGGGGGATCCTGCAGCACCCAGGAGCACGCTCAAGGAGTCTGCGTGAGAGTGCAGAGCGATTGAAAGAAATACTCCATCATTGACCGAAGGGGTCACAGAGCTGCCCCAAGCAGGAGTCAGACACAGACAGTAGACTCCTGGAAGGCTCAAACAACCAACCCAAGGTCATATAGGGTCAACAACTGACATCATCAGAGGCAGGCCCAGAAAGAAAAGTAAAAGGGAAAATAAATAAATAAATAAACAAACAAACAAACAAACAAACAAACAGACCCACCTACTACCATAGAAGTTTAATCCACAAAGTCAGGAAATCTAGACAGCCCAGTTGAAGCAGAAGCGAAACTAAATTAATTAATTACTTACTTACTTACTTACCAGACTCTCACAAAAATGGAAAGAAAAAGAAGTTCCCCCAAAATGAGTGGAAAAGGGGACTCCCTACAGAGAGAGCTAAATGAAATAGACGCAAGGGAACTATCAGATATTGAATTCAAAACACTGGTTCTAAGGCAGCTCAATGAGCTCAGCCAGCTCAAAGATAACTATGAGAAACTGCAGAGAAACTATCAGGATCTTACAACAAACTATATGAACCTGGAAAAGGATATAGAAACTATCAAGAAAACACAAGAGGATATGAAGAATACCATTTCTGAATTGAAGTGCACAGTAGAAGGAATCCAAAGCAGGCTGGATGAAGCCGAGGATCGAATCAGTGAGCTGGAGGATAAGATAGAAAAAAAGCTCCCAGAAAGAACAAGAAATGGAAAAAAGACTCAAAAAGAATGAAGAGGCATTTAGGGAAATACAGGATAACCTGAAACTCAATAATATCTGCATAATAGGGATACCAGAAGGAGAAGAGGAGCAAGGGATAGAGAACCTCTTTGAAAAAGTAACGATGGAAAATTTCCCCAATTTGAGGAGAGAAAAGGTCTCATGGATCCAGGAGGCAAAGAGGGCCCCACTCCAAGACACGTCATCATTAAAATGGCAACTATCAAAGACAAAGAGAGAATCCTCAAGGCAGCAAGGGAGAAGGAGAAAGTAACATACAAGGGGGCCCCAATATGGCTAGGAGCTGACTTATCAACAGAAACAATACAAGCCAGAAGAGAATGGCAAGAAATATCCCAAGTCATGAAAAGTAAGGGCCTACAGCCAAGGCCGCTCTACCCAGCAATTAAAATAGAAGGGGAAATACGGAGTTTCCCAGACAAGAGAAGGCTAAAAGAATACATCTCTACCAAACAAGCACTCCAAGATATGCTAAGGGGACTGGTTTAAGACGATGAAGGAAAAGAATGAGAGAGAGAGGA